GGCCTCTGGGACTGACGCTCTGCAGATGGGTGGTGGAGAGGAGGCTGGAAGTTATGTCACGTGGGAAAAGGTGGCCTAGAAGCAACTAGGGAAGAGAGTCTTATAAAACAGAGGCAGGGTCCGGGGCACCTCTGAGCCATCCTGCCATGCATTCAACCTGAATCAGTCCTTGAGGAAATGGACACCGGGAGGGATGTTCCCCAAAACAACTGGTTCAGGGTCCCCAAAACATCAGTATTGCACCTGCTAAAGGCAGCGGGTGGCTGTCCTGGGCCAGGAGACAATGGTTTGCTTGTTTGCTAAAACGGCGTTATTGAGACAACTGTAGAATCTCAATGAAGTCTGTAGATTAGGGAATAGAACATAACAGAGTGAATTTTCCGACGTTGATACTCGTACTGTGGTTATATAAGAGACTGGTCTTGTTCTTAGGAAACATATATGAAATATTTGGGCAAAGGGGCTTCAGGTCTGCAACCGCTCTCAAGTGGTTCAGAAAATAAAATACACGTGGAGGGGGGCAGCAGAGAGAATGATGAAACAAACGTGGTAACATTTCAAAACCGGGGAATCTGGGTGAAGGAGTTCTTCTATTATTGCTGCACAACTGAAATTATTTCAAAATAAAAAGTTACAAACATTTAAAAAACCAAAGTCAGTATCATGAATGAAAAAAGGCTGAGAGGCTGGGCATGGTGGCTCATGCCTGTAATCCCAGCACTTTGGGAGGCCAAGGCAGGTGAATCACTTGAGGTCAGGAGTTTGAGACCAGCCTGCCCAACATGGAGAAACCCTGTCTCTACTAAAAATGCAAAAATCAGCCAAGCATAGTGGCAGGCGCCTGTAATCCCAGCCACTCGGAAGACTGAGGCAGGAGAATGGCTCGAACCTGGGAGGCAGAGGTTGCAGTGAGCTGCGATCACGCCATTGCACTCTAGTCTGGGCGACAAGAGCGAAACTCCATCTCAAAACAAACAAACAAACAAACAAACAAAATGCTGAGAACAGTCTCTGATTCCACGAGACTATGTAGACCCAGTTAGTCCTTGCAGACTCTCCTAGATCCGGGGGAAAATTGGCTACCATGATGGCAGTGACTGGATACGGCAAGTGAGCCTATGGACAGGGTCAGACGCCAGCACGGCCGTGTGAATTTCCTGGGTGTGGAGTCAGGACCTGCGGGACATGTCCTTGCTCTTTGGAGGTGCTCCCTAGACTTCATGATGTCTGCAACCATCTCCCATGTGGTTCCCCAAAAACACATTTATAGGGCTGGGTGCAGTGGCTTATACCTGTAATCCCAGCACTTTGGGAGGCCAAAGTGGGCAGATCACCTGAGGTTGGGCGTTCCAGATCAGCCTGACCCAAATGGTGAAACCCTGTCTCTACTAAAAATACAAAAATTAGGTGGGCTGTGGTGGCGCGTGCCTGTAACCCCAGCCACTCAGGAGGCTGAGTAGGAGGAGAGTAGTAGCAGCAGAATCACTTGAATCTGGGAGGTGGAAGTTGCAGTGAACTGAGGTGGTGCCACTGTACTTCAGACTATGCAACAGAGGGAGACCCTGTCTCAAAAACAAAAACAAAACAAATACGAAAACATTTACAGGCGAGAGGGGGGTGGGAGGTGGGCCCATGGGATCTAAACGGGGGTACACAGGGATTCATGCATCCCCCAACTTCGCCCCAGCCCCCATTTCTCAACTTTTCTTTCTCTGGCCACTAGATGTCTCTGTGTCGTCCAACCAGGCAGTGGTTTTCTTTTTCTTTTCTTCTTTCTTTTTAGTAGAGATGGGGATCTCACTATGTTGTCCAGGCTGGTCTTGAATTCCTGACCTCAAGTGATCCACCCACCTCGGCCTCCCAAAGTGCTGGGATTACAGGTGTGAGTCACCATACCCAACCTTCATTTTTAAAAAGTGCTTAAAGTTTCCAGGATGGCGAATTAAGACCTTTGCCCTTCTTCTCTGACCCTCCTCTCTCTCTCCTACCCTGTGTTAAGGTGGCCTTTTCTAAATTGAGCTTCTCTGGTTTCCCGGGGGACCGCCCAGCCCACTTGACCTCTGTGGCAAGGAATTTTCCACCAGATGGGTCGCTGCTGCCCTCCCGTGGCCATTGGCAGTAGCGCAGACCAGGCCAACTGGAGGGCAGACACCTGACATGGCTTTTGTGGTCTCTCCTGTCCTAGAAGAGCTGGGGTCTGCAAAGACACAGAACCAATCGGAAAGCTACTTACTTAAGGGATTGGCTCACATGACACAAAGAAGACCCTCCAGGAGGCTGGCGCATGAAGGAGTTAATTCACCAAGGGGATAATCCAAAACTCTCTCCAGGACCTGGCTGTTCAGTTGGGAAGTTAAAACACACCCCTTAAAGGGGCCAGGTGCAGTGGCTCATGCCTATAATCCCAGCACTGGGAGGCCGGGCGCAGTGGCTCATGTCTCTAATCCCAGCACTGGGAGGCCGAGGCGGGCGGATCACCTGAGATCAGGAGTTTGAGACCGCCTGGACAACATGGTGAAACCCCTTCTCTACTAAAAATACAAAATTTAGCTGGGCATGGTGGTACGCACCTTTAATCCCAGCTGCTTGGGAGGCTGAGGCAGCAGAATCGCTTGAACCTTGGAGGCAGAGGTTGCAATGAGCTGAGATCTTGCCATTGCACTCCAGCCTGGGCGACAAGAGCAAAACTCCGTCTCAAAAAACAAGCAAACAAACAAACAAAACCACAGCCCTTAGGACAGACACCCACAATTCCAGCAGAGCAGAGCATTAATGTGAGATGGATATGGGGGGAGGCGATGGGGGGCAGGAGTGTGTTGGAGGAGGAGGGGAGAGGGCAGGGGTGAGGTCAGGGGGCTCCGGAGAGACCCTGTGGGGTAGACCATGGGACGGTTTGTTCTCTTTGGACCCTGTTTGAGTGTCCTGGTGGTCCCTATAGCAAAATTACCCCAAACTGGGGGCTTAAAATGACAGAAGCTTCTTCTCTACCAGTTCTGGGGCCAGAGGCTAAAATCAAGGTTCTAGGGAGGCTGTACTCCCTCCGGAGGCTCAGGGCTCTCTCCAGCCCCTGGCACCTCTCTGTGCTCCTGGCTCACACTGTGCCACTCCTGTCCCTGCCCCTTGGCCGCATGCCCAACTCCCCTGGGTGTGCTTCCATCTCCTCTTCTCATGAGGACTCCAGTGGTGGGATCGGGGCCCACCTTCCTCCGGTGTGACCCAGCTGATCACATCTGCAACAACCCTGTTTCCAAATAAGGCCACACTCTGAGTTCCCCAGGAAGACATACATTTAGGGGGACACTCTTCCACCCAGCACAGCCCCCAAGAGTAAAGGAAGCAGAGAGCAGGAGAGTGACTTGACTGGGGCCTAGTGATGGCTGCATAGCACAAAGGGGACACGGGACCCCCCCCACCCCACAGCCTGGCACAGAAAGGAAGGAACCACGCTGACCATGGAACCCCAGGGGGCTACTTAGAGACGTCCCACGGGAGGTTGGAGGGGTTCATGCCCCAGAGAATGGGGACCCAGCAGGGACAGAGCTTGGGTGGTCCATGCATTGTTCAGGGCCTCTGGGGAACACAGGGCAGGGCATCTGCAAAGGGACTATTGGAGAGAGTGTGATGATGAGATCACTGGAGAAGCGTGAGGAGGGGCCAGTCAGCCGGCACAGCCCCGTGGGCACCTGCGGATGGGTCAGAAAGGGAAGCTGCCATCAGCTTGGACCTGTGCACTGGGAATTTCAATGAGTTCTGGGTCCTGGCCCCAGCCTCTGTGTCTGTCCCTTCACCCCCATGTCAGGGACTTACTTCTTCTAATTAAGTACTGTCATGATCCCATTCTGCAGGGGAGGGGACTGAAGCCCAGAGAGGTCAGGAGACTCGCCCAAGGTCACACAGCAGAGCGGGGTCTGGGATTTGAACCTGTGTTTAGCTGACCCTAAAGTCCTTGCTTTTATATATGTTTAAAAACAACAACAACAACAACAACAACAACAAAAACCCTTTCCATTTCCATAGAGAAAACCTCCAAACATACCAAGTAACAGAACAGCAGAGCAAAGCCTGGGCCGCTTCCTTCGCCCGCCTCCCACCCTTGTTCCTTACTGTCGTGATGTTTATGTTTCTTTCCTGAAGGTAAAGTGTCTATACATTGAGCTACAGTAATCATACAATTAGTAGAATGTATTGGACTTGAGCTAGTCAATTTGACATGTGTGTTTATATTTTCTTTCTGTGGTATCTTAATTGTCTTACTTTACTAACTGAGCAGATAGTGCTTTTTTTTCTGAGACAGAGTCTCGCTGTGTCGCCCAGGCTGGAGTGCAGTGGCATGACGTCAGCTCACTGCAAGCTCTACCTCCTGGGTTCACGCCATTCTCCTGCCTCAGCCTCCCGAGTAGCTGGGACTATAGGCACCCACCACTACGCCTGGCTAATTTTTTGTATTTTTCGTAGAGACGGGGTTTCACTGTGGTCTCGATTTCCTGACCTCATGATCAGCCCGCCTCAGCCTCCCGAAGTGCTGGGATTACAGGCGTGAGCCACCGCACCCGGCCCTATACTGCTTTTATAATAAGGGAAAAAACAATGCAATTCTGATAAAAACATGAAAGACACTCCTTTGAGCTGGTTCCTTGCCCCACCCTGGGGAGCCTCAAGTTTACCCTGTGCATCTGCACCCCCCACCTGAGCCTAGACCCCAGGAAGGCCAGTGGCAGGCTTGGGGCACGCAGCCTCCCTGAAGGGAGGAACCCAGTGGGCAGGACCCACACACATGGCTGTGCGCAGGCCTAAGTCCCCTAAATCTCTCCCTGCTACCTTCTTGGGAGCCCCAAGCACTAGCCCAGTTCCACAAGAGCCTCCATCTTCAAAGGGAGAGTGTGGGCCTCTGTGGGATGCCCTCTTCTCTGAGTAGCCCCTGAGCCAATGCGAGGCTGGGGAGGCCAGCCTCAGGGAGGCATTGCCCGGGCAACCAGCTCCTCCTAGGGCCTGCTGTGGACGGCCCTGTCACCTGGCAACCCAGTGGCAGCGTCCCTGGAGCCCAGGCCACACAGCTGCACCCAGCCCTGCCCAGCTCCTCCCAGGCCTGCAGGACTCCTGGGGCCCTGTCCTTATTCCCCACCACCAGGACAGCCAAAGCTCCGGTCACAATGAACATCGTCTTCTCCAGGTGAGTGGGCCGGCGCCAGCCTGGCTTCGAGGGAGGTGGAAGTAGGGTTTTGAGGCTCGGTACACCAAGAAAGATGAGGGCAGCAGGACCTGCTGCTTGGGGTGGGGGGTAGGGGGTAAGGGGAGCCCTCCCTCCCACGCTGCCTCCGCCTCCATCCAGCTCAGGGAAGACAGGGCTTGGAACTACAGAAGCTTCCAGAATCTGGCCTCCTTCTGCTTCTCCAGAATCACTGCCTGTGGATCTGGGGTAGCCAAATTCATCCCCTTTCCTTTCTCGCCTCCACCTGGAAAACCCCCATCCCACCTCAACCCCAACCAGGCCTCCCCCTTCCCTGGAGGCCCAGCCCACGCCGCCCCAGCCCACGCCACCCCAGCCCACGCCGCCCAGCCCACGCTGCCCCAGCCCACGTCATCTCTGCTCTCACAACCTGCCTGCCCTGCCCCCCTCATTTCCATGCCTGGTTCCTCCGAGGTTTGAATTCCAGGCAACCTCTCAAGCACCCCGATGTGTTTTTGTCTTTTATTTTTATTTTTTTGAGATGGAGTCTCACTCGGTAGCCTAAGGTGGAGTGCAGTGGTGCAGTCTCGATCTTGGCTCACTGCAACCTCCACCCACTGGGCTCAAGTGATTCTCATGCCTCAGCCTCCCAAGTAGCTGGGACCACAGGCGTGCTACCACACCCGGCTAAGTTTTTGTATTTTAGTAGAGATGGGGTTTCACCACGTTGCCAAGGGTGGTCTTGAACTCCTGAGCTCAGGCAAACTGCACCCCACGGCCTCCCAAAGAGCTGGGATGACAGGCGTGAGCCACCGTGCCTGGCCCTGATGTGTTTTGAAAACACAGCTTCTCAGGCACACTCCCAGGGATTCTGGTGCACACGCCTGGGGTGGGGGCCTGGGAGCCCCAGTGTCTGACGTCTCTCCCCTGTGCTGCTGAATCATGGCGCTCGGAGGATCCTACCTGCAAGAACAGAGGCTGTGTCTGGCTGTGTGACCTGTAGCAAGATGCTTCACCTCTTGGGGACTCAGTTCACTCCATTTTCACATGGTGATACCAGCAGCGCCTTGCTTACAGGGTGATGCACGTGGAGTGCTTTGCGGCGAGGCTGGCGAGAGAGTTAGGACAGAGGGCTGCTCCTCAGGGCGTTTCTCACATCAGGGATTTGATGAGAGGATTGCACGGGAGACTTTGGTCAGAGGGAGAGAGGCAGGGACAGTGACACGCTGGGGATGAGGGGAAGGAGAAGGCGTGAGGAAGCCCAGGAGGGAGGCAGAGGCTGGGCGTCCGTGGCTGTCTTAGAAGCCTGAATGCGGCAGGTCAGTCATTGTGCACCTGCTGCGGGGAGGTGCTGGACCGGGAGCATTTAAAGATGAGTCAGGGCCGGGTGTGGTGGCTCATGCCTGTCATCCCAGCACTTTGGGAGGCCAAGGCAGGAGAATCACCTGAGGTCAGGAGTTCGAGACCAGCCTGGCCAACACAGTGAAACCCCGTCTCTACTAAAAATACAAAAATTAGCCAGGCATGGTTGTGGGTGCCTATAATCCCAGCTACTCGGGAGGCTGAGGCAGGAGAATTACTTGAACCCGGAAGGCAGAGGTTGCAGTGAGCCAAGATCATACCACTGCACTCCAGCCTGGGTGACACGGCAAGACTCTGTCTCAAAAAAAAAAGAATTTTGACAGCCTACAGGGAAAGACAGCACAGGGGAATTTCAGAGGGAAGAGGCCTCTGCAGCCAGGGATTGTGGCATAGAGTAACCCTTCCAGGAAGATAAAGCACCTTTAGCATCCCAGGGAGGAAAAAAGCCAGCTTTGCAGCCAAACCCACGTTTATATTCCTGCCCACTACTGACCCGCCCAGGCAGATCCCCCTCATCAGCCTCAACAGCCCTGATACTGCCACCTTGAGTGACAACCTGTGGCATGTGTGTGCCACACCGGAGGCCGGCTGATGGCAGCTCATATATATATATATATATATATATATATATATATTTTTTTTTTTTTTTTTTTTTTTTTTTTTGAGACGGAGTCTCACTCTGTCACCCAGGCCGGAGTGCAGTGGCGAGATCTCAGCTCACTGCAAGCTCTGCCTCCTGGGTTCACGCCATTCTCCTGCCTTAGCCTCCCAAGTAGCTGGTACTACAGGTGCCCGCGACCACGCCCGGCTAATTTTTTTTTTTTTTTTTTAGTAGAGATGGGGTTTCACCATGTTAGCCAGGATGGTCTCGATCTCCTTACTGCGTGATCCCCCCGCCTCTGCTTCCCAAAGTGCTGGGATTACAGGCGTGAGCCACTGCGCCCGGCCAGCAGCTCCTATTTTTATAACCATTGTCTGCTCCTGGCATGCCCAGGGCCCTGCATCACTGCCCAGAACGGCTGCTTAGGTCCCCTCCTCCGCAGGGACAGCCAGGTGAGGGGGATGGACAATACCGTGGCCAACACCGAGAAGTACTTCGGGCAGTTCTGCTCCCTGCTGGCCGCCTACACGCGCAAGACGGCCCGGCTGCGGGACAAGGCAGACCAGCTGGTCAAGCAGCTCATCGACTTTGCCAACTCCGAGAACCCCAAGCTGCGGGCCACCATGAGGGGCTTCGCTGAGGACCTGGCCAAAGTGCAGGATTACCGGCAGGCCCAGGTGAGTGCTGCCGGCCTGGGTCTGGGATGCTGAGGGGCACCCGGGCTCCAATGCCAAAGTCAGGCCTGAGGGCTGCAGGAGCCCTGCTGTGGCAACAGCCAATGGGTGTGTCTCCAGAGACATCCACCGAGGGTGGACATTTACACCCTTTCCAGGGTCATGCCTCTGCCTGCAGGACTGAGAGCCCAGGAGGCTTTGCTGAGTTGGATGAAGGGCCAACAAAGCAAGGAAACCCAGGAAGCCAGCCCTGGGGGCTCCATGAACCCGTGAATGAGACACATCCAGGGCCTATGAGGGCCTCGAGAAGGAACAGAAATCTTGGTGGGGAGTCAGGGGCAAGGAGGCTGCAGGGTGTTAAAAATAGAAATTCCTGCCAGCCCAGAAAAATCCTCACCATGAATTGTAGAAAAGAATCAAAAAGGGCCAGGTGCAGCGGCTCATACCTGTAATCCCAGCACTCTGGGAGGCCTAGGTGGACAGACTGCCTGAGCCTAGGAGTTCAAGATCAGCCTGGGCAACATAGCAAGACCCCATCTCTTAAAAAATAAAAATAAAAAAATTAGCACCTGTGGTCCCAGCTACTCAGAAGGCTGAGATAGGAGGATCATTTGAGCCTGGAAGGTCAAGGCTGGAGCTGTGATTGTGCCTCTGCACTCCAGCCTGGGAGACAGTGTGAGACTTTGACTCAAAAAATTACCAAAATCCAAAGAACAGAACAGCTTTAAACCAGATAGCAACGCATGTCATGGGCAATCCAAGAAAGACAGTGCAGATGGAAGAGGTACTGTCTTCTCCAGGCAGGCACACACAGCCCACGGTGCCCATGTTCTCAAGACAGATGACGAGAGTCCCCCAGCAAGAGGCCTTGACAACCCCATTTCTCACCAATACATCCTAATTTCACCTGGTAATGGGGTGGCCACTGGTGCTAGCTGATTATCTTTATTTTATTTAAAACATTTTTTAAGAGGCAGGGTTTCGCCATGCGGCCCAGGCTGGTCTTGAACTCCTGGGTTCAAGCCAACCTCTCACCTCGGCCTCCCAAAGTGCTGGGATTACACATGTGAGCCACCATGCCTGGCCTAGTTAATTGCCTTTAACCAAAGGAAAAATAAAACTTCTCACGGCTCTGTGACAAGCAGGTGGCAGAGCTCGGAGCCAGGCATCTATGCTAAATTCCCACAGAGGTTGGAGGAAGACCAGGACACCAGGAGGCAGGGCGCCGTCTTCCTTGATGTTTACGTGTTCACAGAGATGGCTCCTGGCCCTCACAAAAACATTTCTGATTGTAAAACGGGCAAGAGGCTGCTTTAGTTTTTCGTTGTTTTTTGTTTTTTGAGATGGAGTCTCACTCTATTGCCCAGGTTGGAGTGAAGTGCCGTGATCTCGGCTCACTGCAACCTCCGGCCTTGCAGGTTCAAGCAATTCTCCTGCCTCAGCCTCCCAAGTAGCTGGGACTACAGGCATGCACCACCACGCCCAGCTACTTTTTTGTACTTTTAGTAGAGATGGGGTTTCACCATGTTGGCCAGGCTGGTGTTGAGCTCCTGATCTCAGGTGATCTGCCGGCCTCGGCCTCCTAAAGTGCTGGGATTACAGGCATGAGCCACCGAGCCCAGCCCTGCTGTGACTCTCAATAAAAGTCTTGTCCCCAAAGCGAGGCTCAATTTTCTCATCTGCAAAGTGGGTTTGTCATCGCCACCCTGTGTGGCAGTTGGGAGACAGGGCCAGGGCTGTCATGTAGAGGGACTGAGCACATGCCAGGGGCCTGTCCTGCCCTCCCCAGTAATGATACTCCCTGAGTTCTGGGCCAGGCACCATCTTCCTACTGTCCTGAAACCCTGGAGGGTGCACCCATGACCTCATTTGACAGGTGAAGAAATGAGGCTTCGAGAGATCGAATTCTTTGCTGGAGCCCTCAGGAGGCAGAGCCGGGCCCTGAGCCCAGGCTCGGTGCCTCCAATACACTGGGAAAAGGGAGGGCACCTCGCGCTCCCCCTCCCCCCACACAGCTCTGGACACGTGGCTCCTGGGTGCAGGCTGCACTTTATATGCCCAGGCTGGAGGCAGGCAGCACCCTGTGCCCTTCACTCAGATCCCTTGGTGTCCCCGCTCCCCCAGGTCGAGAGGCTGGAGACCAAGGTGGTCAACCCCCTGAAGCTCTACGGGGCACAGATCAAGCAGACGCGGGTGAGCTGGGGCACCTTGGCGTGGGTGGCGTCCCCGTCTTGCCCTGTGGGATCCCAGGAAACAGCCTGCTCCTTTTCTGCAGGCTGAGATCAAGAAATTCAAACGTGTCCAAAATCGTGAGATCAAACAACTGGAAAAGCTGGAGAAACTGAGGCAGAAGTCACCCTGGGATCGGCAAATGATCGCATCCTTCCCTGGAAGTGGGGCCTGGGGCTGCCGGGCCAGGGTGTCCACTCACACTGATGTCCTCTGGGGTTTTCTTTGCCTGGGCCCGCTGGGCAGGGGCTGTGAAGTGGGCGGACCACCCTGACGGGGCTGCCTGGGCTTAACTCGGTTCCTTAACACATATTTTTCAGTCCCAGGTGAGTGTCACATGTCTGTCTGGGGCAGGCAGAATCACATGTAGGAAATATACGAGCTCACAAAACGGCCAGGTAGGCTTTACCTGGGCAGAAGCAGGTGTGTGCAGGACCTTGCGCTCAGGATGGGAAAGCCAAAGGTACCGGTAAAAAGGGGCTCCGGGGATCTGTAGACCTGGCTCTGTCCCATCATTGACACCATCCAACAAGTCACTCCCTCCACAGGCCACAGCTTCCCCGCCAGTTACTTGTTTAATGCTCATATCAGGTGCGCACTACTAGCCTCATCCCTGTTGTCTGTAGGAGGAAACCAGGGCTCACAGAGACGCAATTACGGGAGCTCATGGGGCACAGCAGGTAGAGGGGAGCCCGCACGCTCTCTGTCGCGCTGTCCTGCCCCGTGGGAAAGATGCAGGGGACGGGAGGTAGGGTGAGAGCTGGAGGAGGGCTAGTCACCTCCGCTGTATGTGTAACTGATTTGTGACCTCATCCAAAGAGTGCCCCCACTTCTTTTTGAGAGACAGAGTCTCGCGCTGTTGCCCAGGCTGGAGTGCAAGTGGCAGAGTCTCGGCTTGCTGCAACCTCCGCCTCCAGGGTTCAAGCGATTCTCCCCCCTCAGCCTCCCCAGTAGCTGGGATTACAGGCGCCCACCACTGTGCCCGGCTAATTTTTATATTTTTAGTAGAGACGGGGTTTTGCCATGTTACCCAGACTGGTCTTGAACTCTTGACCTCAGGCGATCCACCTGCCTCAGCCTTCCAAAGTGCTGGGATTACAGGCCCAGCCACAAAGAGTGTCCCTTAATGGAGCCAAGTCAGCGGTCCTCACCTGGGGACATTTCACTATCCGGGGATGTTTCTGGCTCACGATTGGAGAGCTCTGCTAGAACGTGTTAAGTTTGTCCCACTGTGGTGAAAAATGGCCACAGACTCACCGTTCAGGAGGTTAGAGGTCCATCGTGGGCCCACTGGGCTAAATCAAGGTGTGGAAAGGGCTGGGTTCCTTCTGGAAGTTCCAAGCAGAGTCCGTGCCCTCGCCTTTTCCAGCTTCCAGAGGCCACACACATCCTTTGGCTTGTGGCCCCTCCCCTGTCTTCAAGCTGGCAGCCTGCACCTTCCCTCTGTAGTCACGTCTCTCCTCTGACTCTCCTGCCTGCCTCCCTCTTCTGCCTGTAAGGACCCTTGTGATTGCACTGGGTGTAGCGGATAATCCAGGATATTCTCCCATGGCAAGGATGGCTGATTAGCAACCTTCATTCCACCTGCTACCCTAACTCCCTTTTGCCTTGGAAGGGGCGTATTGGCAGGTGCCAGGGATTAGGATGTAGCCATCTTTGGGAGCCGTTATCCCACCTACCACCTGGCGAGAGGCCAGGGATGCTGCTAAACCTCCCACAGTGTCCCAGACACTAGTGCCAAGTGCAGGGAGTCCTGACCTACACGAATGGGGGCCACAGCCCTGCCCAAGCACCTCCGGGTTCTATCCTGGCTCCTGCCTGGGTCACCCACCGTCTCTGCAACCCATTTGTTTGAGTGACAACAGCTTTCCCTTCTGTCCTGGGGGCTTCCTAGATGCAAGCCCCCAGCTGTCTCTTCTCAGGCATTTCACAAACATGAAGGTGGCATCAAGTCCCCATTTTAAAGAGGAATTTGAAGCTGAAAAAGGTGACTTGCCCGAGGTCACGCAGGCAGTTAAGTTGCAAATTTCAAATGCACCTCCAAGGTGTTCAACTCTAAAAGCTAGATTCTTCATGTCTGGGCTTGGCGTGGAGTAGGCGTCTATAGATGTTGATCAAAAGAATGAAGGAGTTAATTAACTAAACGTGTTCCTCATGCAGAAGTTAATTATCAATGAACGTGGAGCACCTGTCCTAAGGGCTCAGCAGGTGCCACTGTTTAAGTTTTACAACAGCCCTGCTAAGCAAGTCTCATTACTGTCCTCTGTTTACAAGCAAGGAAATTGAGGCTCAGAGAGGGTAAGTGACTTGCCTGAGGTCACACAGCTAGCAAGCAGGTGTGTCTCACTCCAGTGACTGCTCCTTCAGCCGGGGTCCTACTCCGCCATTCCTTTGATGACCAAATTAGCAAGAGATGTCCCTTGAGGCAGGAGAGCTGACCTGAGAGAAGGGTTTAGAGACAGAGTGATTCTTAAAGGTGTCTAAGGGCCAGAAGCACCCCCATGACACTTTCTACCCCTTGTGTCCCTGAGGCCAGGCGGAGACCAGAGTGCAGAGGGCCGCCATGGACTCCAGCCGCACCACCCTCCAGCTGGAGGAGACAGTGGATGCCTTCCAGAGGCAGAAGCTGAAGGACCTGCAGGTGAAGGTGGTTGGCCGGGATGGGAAGCGCCCTGGGCTGCCTGGTGTGTGTGTGCACGCACGTGTGTGCATGTGTCTATGTGCATGCATCAGTATGAGTGTGTGTGTGCGGGTCTGTGTACATGTGTGAGCACTGGCAGGTGTGAGTGAGCTTATGCTCACACAGGCTCACGGCACAGTTAATCCTGGCCACAGGGCATCAGAGGCTGGTGCTCAAGGCAGCTGTCCCAGCGCAGCTGGAAGCCACTGGGTGGCCCTAGGTCCAGCTTCTAGCCAGGAAGAGTTTGTCTCCCTCCACACACACTCTCCACTTCCTCTCCACACAGATTGCTGTAACCTCTTTTTCTCCTCACAGCTCCAAACCCCCTCCCTGAACAAGCCATGTTGAGGCCCAGCAGCTGGGTGTGGGTGCCATCCTCCTGCCACCCAGATCCCCACCCCAGTGCCGCAGAGCCCCGGGCCCAGAGCCCCAGCTCTTACAAGAGGAGCTCAGAGAGGTGGGACTGGCTGATCACAGAGATCCCTTCCCCAGCTCTCGAGCCCGCTCCAGTCCATTCTCCAAAGGTGCACGCCGCCTGGGGATTTTTTTTTTTTTTTTTTTTTTTTAGATGCAGTCTCACTTGGTTGCCCAGGCCGGAGGAGTGCAGTGGTGCAATTTCCACTTACTGCAACCTCCGCCTCCTGGGTTCAAGTGATTCTCCTGCTTCAGCCTCTCAGGCAGCTGGGATTACAGGCGTGTACCACCACGCCCGGCTAATTTTTGTATTTTTAATAGGGATGGGGGGGTGGTCTCATGTTGGCCAGGCTGGTCTCGAATCCCTGACCTCAAGTGATCCATCTGCCTTGGCCTCCTAAAGTGCTGGGATTACAGGTGTGACTCATCGCACCTACCCCAGGGATCTCTTAAAAGTCAGGTCCAATTCATCATCCCTGGGCTGAGCACCCTCTGGTGGCTCCCCTCGTTCTAAGGATTGGAACCAAAATCCCTTCAAGGCTCCTGAAGCCCTGACCCAGCCCTGCAGCCTCATCCTGCCCGTGACACTCCAAGCTCTAGTGCACAGAGCCCACTCCTACCTGAGGCCTTTGCAGGGCTGTGCCTTGACCTGCATCCAGTCAGTGCCTCCTCCTCCTTCGGCTTCAACCTCATTCTTTGGGGGAAAGTCACCCGGACCCCAGACTGGTCAGGCCCCTTGTTTATACACCCTACTCTGCTTCTGCAGGGCTGCCATCCCAGTTGCAATGGTTAATTGTGTATTCAATTCATGCATGACTTTAACAAGTGTGGAATGCACACCTGCTATGTGCCAGGTGCTGTGCCTGATGCCGGGGACATCATGCCCAACAAACAAGGTCCCTGAGCTCACGGAGTTGACACCGTTGGGGTGGGAGGAGATGGACGGCTCGTGTGGCCGGTGATGTGCTGTGTGCTGTCCATCACATTCGTCACATGGTGGAGCAGAGAAGCCTGTGAGGTCACTGTGGAACACACTGCATGTCGGTGCCACAGGACAGGCCCCCTGCCGGGTCCCAGCCACCAGGGTCTAGGGCCTGGTACCTAGTGGGAATTCAGTAAAAGCTTGTGGAATGAATGAATGAGTGAACGCCTACATGAACGCATGCACAAGGGAATGAAGCGTCAGTGATTAGTGCTCACGCTGTCTACGTGGCAAGGAGGACCTGAAACTGTCGGCAGACATTATTCAGCACCTGATGTGTTTGGGGCTGGGTGGACGGCGCCGGGGAGCATGGACCACACGGCTCTGCAGGTCAGGGGCCAACAGAAGCACAGTTTAAAAGTGGGCATGCTTTCAAGTTCTGGGATTAAATTTGTAAGAAATGTGAATCCAAACCCTGCCTTGAAAGCCCTTCACATTTCAAAAGAGATAAAACAAGAACTTGAGCTAATCATCACCACCTGGCTTAGCCCATCCAGCCTGCGCCAACACAACACTTTAAGCTGGGTGATTTATAAACAACAGAAGTTTATTTCTCACCGTGTTGGAGCCTGGGGAGTCCAAGACCGAGGCTCCAGCAGATTCAGCATCCAAGGAGGGCCTGTTCCCCACGGCTGGTGCCTTCTATGCATCCGCATGTGGTAGAAGGGGCAGAAAAGCTCCCTCCAGTCTTTTTCACAAGGGCACTAATCCCATTCATGAAAGTGGAGCCCTCCTGTGGATCATGAGGAGTTCGAGACCAGCCTAGTCAACATGGTGAAAGCCCATCCCTACTAAAAATACAAAAATTAGCTGGGTGTGGTGGCACACATCTGTAATCCCAGCTACTCAGGAGGCTGAGGCAGGAGAATCGCTTGAACCTGGGAGGCAGGGATTGTAGTGAGCCGAGATCTCACCACTGCACTCCAGCCTGGGCGACAGAGAGAGACTCCATCTCAAAAAAAAAAAAAAAAAGGCTCCTGTGAAAAGATCTCCAGGACCAATTGTTAGCAGGGGAAAAAGCAAGCTCAGAAGAGAGTGAAAAAGGGACAAGAGAAGAATATTAGCTTATCCAAGGAAACAAGGGGGGAACACACAAAAACTTCTGAACATGATCTCAGGAGGTGGAGGGAAAATGAAAAAGGGAACAGGATGGAGGATGTAGAGCAAGTCTCCTCAATTGACACTTGGGCATAGTTTATATTTATTTATTTACTTATTTATTTACTTAGATATGTACTTAGTAGAGACAGGGTTTTGCCATGTTGCCCAGGCTGGTCTTGAACTCCTGGGCTCAAGTGATCCTCCTGACTCTGCCTCCCAAAGTACTGAGATTACAGGCATGAGCCACTGTGCCTGACCAATAGTTTTGATTTTTCGAAGCATGCAAATGTGTCCTCTCTCAAAGAAAAATAAATTTAAAATAACATGTCGAAACTTCCCACCTAGGGCCTGTCCCCACACGGACGGCTCCCCTCACCCCTATCCCATCTGCCTACCTCCAAGGCTACCCTGGGGTCTCTTTCTCACCGTGATGCTTACATTCTTTGATTATTTGGGTTTCTCTCCCCACAGACATTTTTTTCTAATTTTGTGACTATTGAGATGGTTTTCCATGCCAAAGCGTTGGAAGTGTATTCTAGTGCCTTCCAGACCCTGAAGAAGTATGACCTGGAGAGGGATCTACAGGTGGGTCACAGACACCCCATTTCCTATTTGGTGGAGTGGGGCAAAGTTTCACTTTGGTTCTGTATTGATAGAAGCAGTTTTTGTTGGTAACATTTCACAACTGTTCTTTTTTTCTTTTTTCTTTTTTTTTGAGATGGAGTCTCACTCTGTCGCCCAGGCTGGAGTGCAATGGGACAATCTCGGCTCACTGCAAGCTGTGCCTCCCGGGTTCACGCCATTCTCCTGCCTCAGTCTCCTGAGTTGCTGGGACTATAGGCAACCGCCACCACACCTTGCTAATTTTTTGTATTAGTGGAGACAGGGTTTCACCATGTCAGCCAGGATGGTCTTCATCTCCTGACCTTGTGATCCACCCGCCTCAGCCTCCCAAAGTGTTGGGATTACAGGCGTGAGCCACTGCGCCTGGCTACATTTCACAACTTTTCTAACTTTGAAGACTCATTCTGATGAAGCATTGTCAATATCTGCACCTGGGTGCCAAACAGGACAATTTTTCGTAACACTGTTTGGAATATCAACATATTCATCATCATTGGGGTGTTTAAAAACAAATGGATCAGTGGGGCGTGGTGGTTCACGCCTGTAATCCCAGCACTTTAGGAGGCCAACGCAGGCGGATCACCTGAGGTCAGGAGTTCAACGCCAGCCTGGCCAATGTGGTGAAACCCTGTCTCTACTTATTGGGGGAACCAGCCCCCAATATTTCAACATAGGTCCTTTCTATTTTCCCTAAGTGTTGGCCTGTCTGAGAAATAAAGAGAAAGAGTACAAAGAGAGGAATTTTACGGCTGGGCCTCCAGGGGTGACATCACATATTGGTAGGTCCATGATGTCCCCTGAGTCACAAAACCAGCAGGTTTTTATTAAGGACTTTACAAGGGGAGGGGGTGTATGAACAGGGAGTAGGTCATGAAGATCACATGCTTTAAAGGGCAGTAAAGATCACAAGGCAAAGGGCAAAGCAAAGATCACAAGGCAAAGAGCAAAATTAGAATTACTGATGAGGGTCTATGTTTGGCTGTGCATGTATTATCTTGATAAACATCTTAAACAACGGAAAACAGGGTTCGAGAGCAGAGAACCGGTCTGACCTCAAATTTACCAGGATGGGATCTTTTCCCCACCCTAATAAGCCTGAGGGTACTGCAGGAGACCAGGGCATATTTCAGTCCTTATCTCGATTGCATAAGACAGACACGCCCAGAGCGGCCGTTTATAGACCTCCCCCCAGGAATGCATTCCTTCCCCAGGGTATTAATTATTAATATTCCTTGCTGGGAAAAGAATTCAATGATATCTCTCCCACTTGCACGTCCGTTTATAGGCTCTCTGCAAGAAGGAAAATATGGGCTCTATTCTGCCCGGCCCCACAAGCAGTCAGACCTTTGGTTGTCTTCCCTTGTTCCCTAAAATCGCTGTTATTCTGTTCATTTTCAAGGTGCGCTGATTTCACATTGTTCAAACACACATGTTTTACAATCAGTTTGTACAATCATGGTACTGAGGTGACATACATTCTCAGTTTATGAAGATAACAGGATTAAGAGATTGAAGTAAAGACAGGCATAAGAAATTTTAAGAGTATTAATTTTGGGAGCTGATAAATGTCCATGAAATCTTCACAATTTATGTTCAGGGACTGCAGTAAAGACAGGTGTAAGAAATTATAAAAGTATTAATTTTGGGAACTGATAGATGTCCATGAAATCCTAACAATTTATGTTCCTCTGCCATGGCTTCAGCCGGTCCCTCCGTTTGGGGTTCCTGACTTCCCACAACATCTACTAAAATACAAAATTAGCCAGGCATGCACCACCTGCAATCCCAGCTACTCAGGAGGCTGAGGCAGGAGAATCGCTTGGACCTGGGAGGTGGAGATTGCAGTGAGCTGAGATCATGCCACTGCACTATAGCCTGAGCAACAGCGCAAGACTCCATCTCAAAAAAAAAGAAAAAAAAAGAAAAACCGTGAATGGATTAACAACAACAAAAAACATTTCCTGGCTGATGCTTGGTGTAGTTTTGAAATAGAAAGAAGTGCTTTTTGTCCCCATCTGATCAGTTAAAATCTAGAATGAGCTGTTTGCATTATCTGTAACATCCCTCTGTAAGTCTAGTATTGTAAAGCAACAGTCACTTCTCATGATTCTCGTCTGTGGTTCTGGAGGCTCACCTGGGCAGTTCTCAGGTGGGGCCTTCATGTGGTTGCCATTGGTCAGGGGCTGGGGCTGTCTTTTCTTAGCTTTCCTCCCTCATGTCTAGCAGAAGGTGGCTGTCATCTGAGCACAGGACAGGCCATGTGATTTGCAGGGCCCACTGCAAAATGAAAATGTGGGGCCCTTCCTTCAACAATTACTAAGATCTTCAGGACAGCAGCATCAGCGCGCTAAGCCAAGCACAGGGTCCTTCTGGGCGTGGAGCCCTGGGCAACTGCATGAGCCACATCCCACAAAGCCTGCCCTCCCTGGGTCTTCCTCGGGATCTGCAGCCACAGTGCCTGCCCACAGCTTTTCCATGGGGCCTGGGCTTCCTCACAGCAGCTGGTTCCAAGACGGAGTGTCCTGAGACATGGGTGGAAACTCGATCACCTTTTTTTTTTTTTGAGATGGAGTCTCGCTCTGTCGCCCAGGCTGGAGGGCAGTGGTGCAATCTCGGTTCACTGCAATCTCTGCCTCCCGGTTTTAAGCTATTCTCCTGCCTCAGCCTCCCAAGTAGCTGGGACTACAGGCGCCTGCCACCATGTCCAGCTAATTTTTTATATTTTTAGTAAAGATGGAGTTTCACTGTGTTAGCCAGGATGGTCTTGATCTCCTGACCTTGTGATCCACCTGCCTCAGCCTCCCAAAGTGCCAGGATTACAGGCATGAGCCACCGCGTCCAGCACTCGATCACCTTTTATGACCTAACCTCAGCAGTAACCCAGTGTGTCCTTGCCATAATCTATTTGTTAGAAGTGAATCTCTGAGGCTGCCTGTACTCAAGGGGAGAGGAATTTGATTCCAGCTCCAGATGGGAGAAGCATCAGATCATCTGAGTTACCAATAAGCCTTAAAATTACCACGAGAGGTTTGACGCAGGTCGGAGGGGCTTCTCTCGCATTCACCCACTTAACAATATTCTTTTTAGGGGCAAGGGGGATCTCGAATCCAGCCGTTTTCCTGTGTGACGATGGTCATGTTACCTGGCCTCTCTGGGCCTCTCCCATCTGTAAAACGGGGTGATAATGCCCACTCACAGGGCTGCCATAGATTATGTGGAATAAGAAACAGGAAGCTCCTGGAGAGGACTGTGGAGTTCCACGGGCGTTAGCTGTCTCGGGTCTTCTTATCCCACCGTCTTTTCATCCCACTCCCCCGACACATGCTGTGTTTTCCCATTGGATCCAGCCCACCCTGGTCTCTCCCCGGCAGGATTTTAGAGCCAAGATGCAAGGAGTTTATGGGCATTACGATACTCAGCCGCTTGCCAACACCAACCCCTCTCCATCTGTTCTTCAGTCTCTCGCCAGCCAGGTGAGTGTGTGGGTGGGTGGGGGTTACACCTAAAATGACGTACACGGCGTGGGAGGTCCTGTGGTAGTAATCCCAGGGATCAGAGGAGGGTGGCTGAGAACTCAAATTTGAAATGAGAGGCTGAGGAGGCAGGGGTGGTGGGAGCATGAAGGGCTGCCTGGGGTCTGACCAGGACTTTGTCTTAAAGTAGAACAAAGGCAGGTGCGGGGGCTCAAGCCTGTAATCCCAGCACTTTGGGAGGCCGAGATGGGCGGATCACAAGGTCAGGAGATCGAGATCATCCTGGCTAACACGGTGAAACCCCGTCTCTACTAAAAAATACAAAAAACTAGCCGGGCGAGGTGGCGGCGCCTGTAGTCCCAGCTACTTGGGAGGCTGAGGCAGGAGAATGGCGGGAACCCGGGAGGCGGAGCTTGCAGTGAGCTGAGATCCGGCCACTGCACTCCAGCCTGGGCGACAGAGCGAGACTCCGTCTCAAAAAAACCAAAAAAACAAAAAAACAAAAATTAACCAGGCTTGGTGGCGTATGCCTGTAATCCCAGCTACTTGAGAGACTGAGGCAGGAGAATCACTTGAACCCATGAGGCAGAGGTTGCAGAGAGCCGAGATCGTACTATTGCACTCTAGCCCAGGTGATAGAGCGAGACTCTGTCTCAAAAAAAAAAAAAAAAAAAAAAAAAGAATCAATGAAGCCACAACACGCAGTGTGGCAGCTCACACAGTCCCTGCCGTGGCTGCCACGAGTCCTGAGCACTCCCTGGAGGCACTCTGAGGTGTTGCCACTGGAGAAAGAGGCCCCCCAGACAGGTCCACACCTCCATTCCAGCCCACGGGCCCACGGTTTCCAGAATCCAGGATTCCTCAGAGGTTAGGGAAGTGATTAGGTGCATACATTACACATTACCTTACAGCCCCAGGAAGGCCTGCCGTCAGGAGCACTTATATTTCCGCAGGGAACTCTGCAGGTCCAGCTGTGTAGGGCAAATGAAGACCCTGAACATCCTCATGCCAATCATGGCAGGTTTAGTCTCCATGACTGGGGGTTGAGAGGGCAGTCAGCTCACTGTGTGTGTGGGCAGGGGGGGTATCTCATGCTTCCGGGACATTCTCTCTAACGATGGCAGGGTAAGTGCAATCCCAAGCCGTTTAAAATAATCCCAGACTGCCTGGAGGCTTTGTCCATATTTTCTTATTCTTTTTTCTTTGTCTTTGTTGGACTGGGTTAATTCGAAGACCTTGTCTTCAAGCTCTGAATTTCCTTCTTCTACTTGTTCAGTTCTATTGCTGAGACTTCCCAGAGCATTTTGCATTTCTGTAAGTGTGCCCAGTGTTTCCTGAAGTTTTGGTTGGTTTTCTTTATGCTATTTCTTGGTCCAAGCCCACTGCTCCTGGTGGTGGGACCTCGGGGAAGTCTCCTGGCCTCTCTGTGCCTTGGAGTCCTCGCCTGCAGAGTGGCTCAGAACAGTGACCTCTGTGTGGGGCTGCGCTGAGTATCAGATGAGCAGATCCATACGAAGCATGGAAAACCCGGCCTGTTGCACAACGAACACTCGAGACTTGTTGCTGCCATTATTATTACTGATGTTGCTGTCATTTTACTATTACTATTATTTAGAGTGCTCAGAGCACGATACAGAGCCCAAGAAAAGAAGGGGAGGAGAGTGAGGACGACTCCATGGAGGAGGCCCCCGTGGAGGATCTCAGGGCCCTGGGGCAGAGACCCAATGCTAGAGAACCGCCCACAACAGTCAGAAGAACTTAGCTGGCCTGGGATCCTCAGGTGGGCTCTGCTGTGTGCCCTCAGGCAAGCCACATGTCCCCTGAGCCTCAGTTTCCTCATCTGTACAATAGGGCCAATATCACTCACCTCACAGGTTGCTCTGGGGGATCGCTGTGCCTGGCACATAGTAGGTGTTCAATAAATGCCCTGTGACTCTCAGCTGGATCCCAGTGCTCTCGTCCTGCCTTTAGTCCGGGGGCTCAGGTGGGGTGTGCTTGCCCCTGTGTTCATGTTGCAAGCACAGTGGATTCTTTTCCTGGGCTACCTTGACAAAGCACCACTGCCCGGGCAGCTCAAACCACAGAAAATCACTCTCCTGTGTTCTGGAACCCAGAAATCTGACAGCAAGGTGTCAGCAGGGCTAATTCTTTCTGGAGGCTCAGCACCCATCCCAGGCCCCCTCCAGCTTCCAGTGGCTCCTGTCCTCGGCGCGCCTGGGCTTGTAGCCGCATTCCCAGCCCCTGCCTTCCTCTTCATGTGGTGTTCTCCCAGTGCGCACTTAAGCCTGTGTCCAAACCTCCCCTTCCTATAAGGACACCCATCATCAGAGGCCCCCCTCACTCCAGGGTGGCCTCATCTTGACTAATTATACCAGCAACGACCCATTTCCAAATAAGGTCACATTCTGAAGTATGGGGGCGGGTAGGACTTCAACATAGACCTTCGGGGACAAAATTCAGCCCACAACACATGGACGTGACGTGCAGGGATGCTCTTGGGACCAACATTGCCACAGAAGTCCACGGTGGTCAGAGCGGGATGGAGGTGTAGGGAGGGTTGGGGTGTGTGGACTGGGGGGCTGTCTGCTGGGACCCCTGGTGCACAGCCGGGGAGCGAATCCCCTTGACCGTGTCCGAGGGCAGCTGAGGTGAGCTCGCTCCTCCCAGCCTGGCACAACTCGGTGACAGTGAGGCTTGGTGGAGATGTCTGGGTCCTAGAACTCTCTTCCGTGGCCAGGCGTGGTGGCTCACACCTATAATCCCAGCACTTTGGGAGGCCGAGGCAGGTAGATTACCTGAAGTCTGGAGTTCGAGACCAGCCTGGCCAACATGGTGAAACCCCATCTCTACTAAAAATACAAAAAATTAACTGGGCATGGTGGCACAAACCTGTAATCCTAAGTATTCGGGAGGCTGAGGCAGGAGAATCGCTTGAACCTGCAGGGTGGAGGTTGCAGTGAGCTGAGACTGCACCACTGAGGTTGCAGTGAGCCGAGATCGCGCCACTGCACGGCAGCCTGGGCAACAAAAGCAAAACTCCGTCTCAAAAAACAAAACAAACAAAAAACTGGCTTCCGTGCTTCCCATGAGTGTGGCCGTCTCTGTCCCTCAAGGCCACATGCTACACAATGATTCCAGGTTAGAAGGTGCACCTGGGCCGGGTGCGGTGGCTCAAGCCTGTAATCCCAGCACTTTGGGAGGCCGAGACGGGCAGATCACGAGGTCAGGAGATCGAGACCATCCTGGCTAACACGGTGAAACCCCGTCTCTACTAAAAATACAAAAAACTAGCCAGGCGAGGTGGCGGGCGCCTGTAGTCCCAGCTACTTGGGAGGCTGAAGCAGGAGAATGGCGTGAACCCGGGAGGCGGAGCTTGCAGTGAGCTGAGATCCGGCCACTGTACTCCCAGCCTGGAGCACAGAGCAAGACTCCGTCTCGAAAAAAAAAAAAAAGAAAGTGCACCTGGAGCCTGCAGATACGGGCTGGCTCCACCGATCCCAGCACCCCCCACGGGTCACCCCCAGCCGGGGGTCCTACCAGCTCAAAGCCAGAAAGCACCTCATCTCTGTTGAGACAATGGAAGTCAGTGAAAATTCCAAATGAGGCTCAATCCTCCATGAGGAGATGGAACAGCATAGAAGCTTCTTTCTACCAACTTCCTAGATAGGATCACAATCCTTCCACCCTGCGGGCGAGGGCCCTGTTCCAGCTGCGGAATCCTTTCCAGGGCCCAGGGTGGGGCTTCATCCCTGTGGGGGGCTCATCCCTGCCTAGCCTCCTGCCTTCTGAGAACCTCGGCTGGGAACGGTCCATCCGGTGGCCTCTCATGCTGGCCTGGTGGATAACCGCTGCGCTCTAGAGCCAGACAGCCCCGGGTTCGCATTCCCCACATGGAGTGCCCTGGGTTTTTCATCAGCAAAGTGAGGGATACACATCTTTCTCACAGGATTGAGGTAGGGTTGGCATCTTCATCACTGTGACTTTTTTGAGACAGAGTCTCACTCTGTCACCCAGGCTGGAATGAAGTGGTGTGATCTTGGCTCAGTGCAACTTCTGCCTCCCAGCTTCAGGCAACTCTCGTGCCTCAACCTCCCCTGTAGTTGGGACTACAGGCATCCGCCACCACGTCCGGCTAATTTTTTGTATTTTTAGTAGAGATGGGGTTTCGCCATGTTGGCCAGGCTGGTCTTGAACTCCTGAGCTCAGGCAATCTGTGCACCTCGGCCTCCCAAAGTGCTGGGATTACAGGTGTGAGCCACCGTGCCCGGCCCACAGTGATTTTTATTACCCAAGATTCGGCTCCACGGTACCTCTCGGGGAAGCCTTCCCTGACTCCCCCAGGCCAGGATACACGCTCCAGAAATAACTAAAACTTTCTAGATGTTCTGTATAATCTGTATATTACATCTATTAATGCTTTAGAGTGTATATTTGTGTACTTTTATAAGCATATACCTGAGTGTACACACACATTTGCTTATATGTAGATGTCTATGTTTTCAGGAACCTCAGCTGAGTCCCAACTCCGTGATAGTTTCTGAAGGACGATGACCTTGCTAGTCAGGGCCATGGTCCCGGAACTGGTGGTGCCAATTTCATGTAAGGTTTGGCTGGGTTGGGGGCCTCTCCCCTTCCCCTTTGGCCCTAGTGCACCTAGAGACCAATTGTCCCGGAGTACAGGTGGGACAGTCGGCCCAGAGCCTTCCCTGTCACTCCTTCTCTGCTGGTCACTTGGGAACTGGCAAGAAAACTCAGAAATTCTCTCTTTTGGGGCCCTGAGGAGGCAGAGATGGGGGCAGCCACCTCACACAGGGATGCCCTCCCTCCCTGCCCTTTTTTTTTTTTTTTTTTAAGATGGAGTCTTGCTCTGTCACCCAGGCTGTAGTGCAGTGGCATGATCTCGGGTCATTGCAACCTCTGCCTCCTGGGTTCAAACGATTCTCTTGCCTCGGCCTCCCAAATAGCTGGGACTACATATGCCCGCCACCATGCCCAGCTAACGTTTGTATTATTAGTAGACACAGGGTTTCACGATGTTGGCCAGGCTGGTCTCCAACTCCTGACCTCAAATGATCCACCCGCCTCGGCCTCCCAAAGAACTGGGATTACAGGCGTTGAGCCACCCCACCTGGCCGAATAGTACATTTTAATTTATTCCTATCAAAATTAGAAGAGCTGAGTCCTTTTTCTTTCACTAGATAGGAAACTTCCTACCCCTCTGTCCTGAGGGCAGCTGAGCAGGAAGAGGCCTACCTGCACTTCCTACAGGAATGGCCTAGGGCTGTGATGCTCTTCTTCCCGGTCCACAGATGAAGACGCGGAGGCTCAAAGAACTATCTGGCTAAGGGCATACAGTCAGCTGGCGGGAGGTGGAACCGGATCCGGGCCCTTCCAGGTCCTGCCCCGAGCTGCTCAAACTCTTTGGGGTCTTCGCTGCCTTTCAGAGGAGTTTCTCGTGGAGTTTGCCTCCGAGTCTAGCCCTCACCTCCTGCGGGAGGAATCCCCCAGCACTAGAGAAAAAGCCCAGATGCGATGCCCCAGGGCTGTGCACCCACAAGCCATGCCCGCCCTCCCTGTGTGGTTAAGAGGGGGCAGAGGGAGAGCTGGGGATGTGGAGGCTGCTCCATTCTTCCTCTGCCTGGAGTGGCAGGGAGTGTCCCTGTCCGCTCAGGCAGTTGGGGGAGGGGGACCTTGCATCCGTGCTCCTGGGGTCTGGGGGACACCCCTGTGCCCTGCTCCTTCCCCGGGCATGAAGGGGACCCCAGAATCTAGCTCTGGGGTCTGCCCCTGTGTCCAGCTCCTTCCCAAGGCAGGAGGGGGACCCCTGCATCCCACCCCTGGAGTCTGGGGGGATGCCTGTGTCCTGCTCCTTCCCCGGGCATGAAGAGGACCCCTGCATCTCCTCCCGGCATGAAGAGGACTCCCCTGCATCTCAGCCCTGGGGTCCTGGGGACACCTGTGTCCTGCTCCTTCCCCGGGCATGAAGAGGACCCCTGCATCTCAGCCCTGGGGTCTGGGGGACACCTGTGTCCTGCTCCTTCCCCGGGCATGAAGAGGACCCCTGCATCTCAGCCCTGGGGTCTAGGGGGACACCCCTGTGTCCAGCTCCTTCCCCGGGCTCATTGCCCGGCCATTTAGGCCAGAGTATCAGAATGTGGCTGTGGACTTTTTACAATCAGAGAAAAGGAAAAGCCCCCAAACTTTTGAAATATTTTTGTGGAACGGAGTTGGAAGGAACTGATGCAGGCGCCCTGCTTGTGTTGGGTAGGGGCTGTGGTCAGCGCCACTGACCACCCCAAAACCCCCAATCAAAGAGGTAAGGTGTCTTTGGCTTTGAGGGGTAGGGTCAGGTGTCCAGGTGAAGGGGTTCAAGGCGGTGATGGAGCCTGGGCCAAGACCCAGTCCAGAGAGGGGGTCCCTCATTCATGAATACAGACTCCCAGTAGCCAGGCAGACCAACATGGCCAACGTGGCTGCTGTATCTGATAAGACCCGGGTGCTCAGTCTACGTGGAAAAAATGTCTATTTGGCCTTAGAAAAAATGGTTTTCTTCTGAAAAGCTATGGATGTCACTCAGAAGATTGCAAATTCTGTAAAAAGTCCTCATGGATGTGTTAAATATTAAACAGACTTTTGTGTCTTTTTTTTTTTTTTAAAAATGATATTTTATTTCAGTTTCTACCTTCCGACAACTCAAGGTGCAATATATACACACATTTTTTTCTTCACAGCAAACACCTTTGATTTTAGCACTGTTTTGAGATCTTCACCCTTGAAATTTTCTCAACCTTAAAATACTTTGTAGAACATCACCGAGTGGGACACAAGATTGCAAAAACGCAACAGAGAAGATACTGGTGTCACTGCACACCACTGGGGGCTACCAACAAGGCAATGTCCGGATGTGACCACCACGAGTCTAGGAAAGAGAAAGCAGAGGGCGTGTGCATGGGAGACGCCACTGATAGTTCCAAGGGGGGCTGCCAGGTCCAAGGCGGCGGCAGGTCAACCGTGTCCTGACACATTTACATGTTTTAAGGGGATCCATGTATGTTGTCTGAATTTCTAGCATTTCCTAGTGTTCAAACGTTTGCCTTATCTTTCCCCAAGTGTCCTCCCAGAAGACCCTAAGCCACAGCCCCAGGCTCGCCAGGAATGCCAGGAGCTCCTCTCCAACAGACAAACCCAAGACAAGCTGTCTCTTGCAGGGAGATCTGGAGTCCACCCCTTAGGGCTGCACGTCCTAAGGGCATGCCGTCGTCCCCCACCTCTATTTCATGAGCAAATCATCTAGGATTAAGGAGGGAGTGGGCACAGCCCCCTAGTTCCAGTCAATGAACAGGGGATTTACTGACAGGCATCCTCTTTCTAGTTAAAGTGCAAAGTCCCTTAAGGTGCAGCTCAAGGGAGCTTCAGGCTGCAGCGGGCTCAGGCTCTGTTTTGTCAGGTCCCAGAGCCTGCAGATAAAGAGGATGGGCTGGGTTCTCCCCAAATTGCACTGTCCTGCGGGAGGGGTGTAGAAGGGAAGTTTGGGTGAACCCAGCCCATCCTCTCTCCCCTTGGACATGGTTTTTCCCTTTCCAATAGTAACTAAGAAACCCTACCCCCACCCCCAACTCCCGTGGAAGCACTGTCCCACTGAAATCCCGTGGTCACGTGCATCCCCAGGCACAGCTGCAGGTGGGGCCGCGCTCCCGAGGGCTCTCACTCACCGCAGTCTGCAGGCTAGAGACACCCACACAAACCCAATCCCTTGCCAGCACCGGAGTCAGGTTCCCACGGTGGCATGCATCCTTACGAGCCTGTCGGTCACATGGTTGATTCCATCCCTTTCCTGGACAGCATGCTACCCAGGCCCAGGGAGGCCCAGGGATGCATGCGGGCCTGAGGCACAGAAGGCAGGCCCCCTGAGCGCCTGTGTGGAGGGTGGCTTCCAGGCCATTGTTGGCTGCAGGAGAACAGTATGGACGTGGTTCTTTTGTTTGGTGTCTCAGGCACCAACACATTCCTATTCCTGGCCCGCGGCAGCAAGGGTTCCTGGGGTGCATGGCCTGTGTGACTCCAGGAAGCCCTGCTCTGTCTGTGGCCTTAGCCTGTGCGAGCCAGGCGGGGTGCACCTGGCATCCGACTCCCCTTTCCTGTGGACGCAGCTGGGAGCTTCTGAAGTGAAACCTATCTCCAAGAATCATCAATGTGAATACGTGATTTACAGGACAAGGGAGTGAGATGGCTGCATCCTAAGAAAAATGGTTCAGCGGAAGTGAATGGCTCACTGGGACTGGAAATGGGACAGGAAAAGGAGTGAGAGTGGCCTTGAGTGAGAACCTGGCAGCTTCGCCTTGTGGCCGCAGAAACGGAGGAGGGACCAGCCTCAGAACACCTGCCTGCTGGGTCCAGAGGGGGCTCTCCCTCCCCTCTCCCTGAGGCTGGACCACTGCCACGCTGTGAGCATCCCTTCCTCTGCGACAAGGAACCCTCTGATTTTTAAAGTTCTCTTTCTCGAGCTCCACGCTGTTCTTGGAAACACTACTGGACTCCCTGGCTGCGCTGTGGTCTGGTTTTAGGTAATTCAGTAACAAAGCTGATCTAACCACACGGACCTACCTGGATCCTTCCTAATTAAAAAGCCAACAGAGGCTGTGTGTGGTGCCTCAGGCCTGTAATCCCAGCACTTTGGGAGGCTGAGGTGGGTAGATCACCTGAGGTCAGGAGTTCGAGACCAGCCTGGCCAACATGGTGAAACCCCATCTCTACTAAAAATACAAAAATTGGCCAGGTGTGGTGGCATGCACCTGTAGTCCCAGCTACTCAAGAGTCTGAGGCAGGAGAATTGCTTGAACCCAGAAGGCAGAGGTTGCAGTGAGCAGAGATCATGCCACTGCACTCTAGCCTGGGTGACAGAGCAAGACTCTGTTTCAAAAAAAAAGAAAAGAAAAGAAAAGAAAAGAAAAAAGCCAGGTGTGGTGGCTCACCCCTGTAATCCCAGCACTTTGGGTGGCTGGGGCAGGTGGATCACCTCAAGTCGGGAGTTTGAGACCAGCCTGACCAACATGGAGAAACCCTGTCTCTACTAAAAATACAAAATTAGCTGGGTGTGGTGGCACATGCCTGTAATCCCAGCTACTCGGGAGGGGAGGCTGAGGCAGGAGAATCGCTTGAACCTGGGAGGTGGAGGTTGCAGTGAGCAGAGATCGAGACACTGCACTCCAGCCTGGGCAACAAGAATGAAACTCCGTCTCAAAAAAAAAAAAAAAAAAAAAAGCCAACAGATAGTGGGACCCAGGAAGGTCAGGCCAGTAGCTTACAGCCCTGGCTTCCGGCTGAGGAACCCCAGTTAGACTGAAACCTTTCACAAGCTCTTTACGGTGTGAACCTGCATTCCTCGTGTCAGGGGTCTGGAGGAGCAGGTGCTCCGGGGTGATAAGGTAACCCAGGCAGAAGAGCCTAGGGAAAAGGGAAATCTCACGGCTCCAGCCTTCTTTCCTCATAACTGAACTCCTCAGCATTACTGGGCTTGGAGGCGTGAGTGAGAGGCCTGTTTGATTTTAACTCACAGGAAGGAAAGACGACGAGGGCTGGCGGTGCCTGTGATTCCCGCACTCGGCCTCGGTGCTGGTTTTAAACCCAGCATGTGTTGCTTGGATTACCTGAACATCAGGATTTTAAATTGGGTACAGAGCTCAGAAACTGGTCTCTCCCTCTAGCCCTTTTTTGGAAATGTCAGAGCTCTTTGGCCCATTTTCTTTCTTTTGGCAATAGGAAAATCATAGAGCCTACCCCATTTCACTTACAGATAACTCATGACATCAGAATTCAGTTCTCTGGCCTTTGGTTAAACATGTGCATGCACAGGGCAGAGGCAATCTATTAACACAGCCCCTCTTAAACATCTATCAATGTTGCTACAATTCCATCAATGTTGCTAAAATTGTAACAAAGGCTAAAAACATACAATGCTGCATGTCAACATGTCCTGTTTTCAAAGCAGGGAGCTTTTCACTTGAGTAAGTTGTTTGTGTTTTGGTTCACTAGGATTCACACAGTCCTCAAGGTCGGGCGACAGAGTGCCTGCAACGGCCCCATGGACAACAGGCCTTTGCGCCCCTAGTTTTGGGCATTCTGTCTGCTGGGGCTGGGAACCTCTTCCTAGGAATCACCTGACACTTCCTGAGTTTACAGAGGGGCCACCAGAGTTCTCCTATACCCAGGTGGCCCTGGGTGTGCCCTGGTGTGACACCTCCCCACGCGGGGATCTTTGAGCAGTGTGGCTGGGTCAGTCTGCTCCGCATCAGGGCCCAGCTCACGCCTGCTCTGCCCAGGCCCTGGGGGAAGAGAGGAAACCTTGGTGGCAGGTGGTCAGCCCTGTCCCAGGCACACTGGACCTCCTCCAGGCAACCCTGGCCAGAGCCACTGTCAGCCATGGCTAGCAGGAGGCCACAGGCAGCTTCCCGAGCCACTGCCTGCTGCGCTCACAGCACAAGCAGCTGTCTCTCGGGCGTCCTGTGTGGATGGAGCACAGAGGGGACCCTTCTCTGTCAGGCTTCCTCCAACTCTGAGGAGCTAGATCTACAAGAACAGGTAGTAAAGGGAGAAATAAACAAACAGACAAAACCCCACACCTTTCCTCTCCCTGAAATGGCTATTTCAAGAGGTCTATGTGGACAAAAAAGTGTCAAGACCATTTTTGAAGTCAAAGTGCTTGGAAAAAAGTCCAACGAAGTCAGTGCTGCCTTTCCTTCCAGAGGCTGTGCACAAGCCCTCCAGTGCCCAAGAGAGTCTCAGAATCAAACAAAACTTCCAAACAAAAATCCTACACATGCAGGGGTAAGTCTTGTGGGCACCGCAGAACAAAAGCTGAATGCGTTTCACTAACACGAATAATACATGACTAAGAACGCTGACAACGACGCGGCTGAAGGGAGCCTCTGGACAGTCAGCCCTCAGCGTGGCCCGAGTTTCGCCAGTGTGGGGAGGAGAGCAGTGCCCTGGAGCTGTGGCTGGACGCCGCAGGAGGTGTGTATTATTTGCAGTTGGCATCAGAGCGAGGGGCGTCCGCACACCCCTTGCTCTGTGATGTTTCTCTAAATGGATTCGGTGGAGACACGGCCGTTGGGGTCCAACGATGGGGGAAGGGGCACCCCAGCCTGCGCAACTCCCCCACCCCAGCCCAACTCATGGCGAGCGCACTGGCAGCATGGCCACAGTCCGGCCAGCGGCACTGCCAGGCTGAAATCACTCACGCACCATGTAGCCAGGGGCCCTGAGGCCCGGCTCCCCCATTCTGCAGTCTGGCGACATGTGGTCCAAATGCATCAGATGACACCACATTTCAGATAATGCCCCAGACACACATTCTGTGATCCAACCAATCTGTGCTCGTCTCTGGACCATTCCGGGGAGGCATTCCCTGGAGGGAAATCTTCCAAGCAGCGGCCGGGTTAGTGACTCTCAGGCTTACAAACAAGACGGGACTTATCTGACCGAATGTCAGAGGAGGTAGCCAGGAAGGGCAGGAGGGGAGGATGGCGGGTGAAGGGAGAGCCCCGCGGGCCTATTTGGCGGTCAGGGACCACAGCAGCGACGGGTAGGAGGCAGGGGACCCCAGGCAGGCTGGCAGCGTCCACGCATGGTGAAACAGAAGGCTCTGGACCCAGCATGCAGGTGTCAGGGTCAGGCCCCGGGTCCACGGGCTGGCCTGGAGTGCCTGGTACAGATCCACAGAAGAGAAGGGCCATGGTTCCCAGGCAGTAGGTGCGAGGTGAAGGGAGTCTCTGCAGAGGCTGGAGGAAGGAGCTGCAAAGGTCTGGTGGGGAAGGAAAAAGCCCCTTCCGGAGCCCCTGGGGGCAGAGACCCAGTGCTCAGCCCTTAGAGGCAGAGTCCATGCCACTGGCTCGCCCCACACGTCACACAGAACTGCCTCTCTCCAGCTGCTGTCTCTCCCAGCTCAGACTTTCCTGCCTTGTCTGGAATAAAGAGCAGCACTGTTTGCTTTTAGAAAGGGTGGTTGTCTAGTGACTACTAAAGAAACTTCTCTTTCCTGTGCTTCTTGTGAGGGACACACGGCACAACGCTGCTTCGTGACCACGGAGCCTTCTCTGCTTCAGAAGGGAGCTGTCCACCAGGCGGGTGCATTTCAGACGGTCTGTGTGGTCTGCTGCAGACACCTCGGCACTGCTGTGGCTCTGGCGGAGACACACAGATCCCGGCCGTCTGCAGGGCACACACACGTCCCTCTGGTGGGAGCCGGGTCTTGCTCCAGCCAGCCAAGAGCATCCTCTGCACCACTCCCTCTCTCTCCCTAAAACAGGCGTTTCTTCCTCAAGGGTCCTGTGACTTCCCGTTCCTGCCCCACAGAGGGAGACTGGGGAAGAGTGAGGACCGGTCACAGCCCCACACTGAGAGGGCTGGATGGGAGCCACATGTGCACCCATTGCAGGGAATGTGGCCCAGGGCCGCCCACCATGAGTGGCAGGGCCAGTCCTCCACTACTGGGTGTGCCGGCTGCAGCCCCCCCTCATGGCTGTCCTGCCTGCATCCCTTGCCCGCCCCTACCCTTGCCAGCCCTGGGCCCATGATGGCCCACGGAGTCCTTCCCCTCCTCCCTCTTGGTCTCATCTCACAAGCCTGGCACTCGGGGTACAGCAGGTCACCTTGGCTTTAGCCATGTGACCCAAGGGACACTTTGGCACATGGATAGGGGGGCGCAGACACAGGCAGAGAAGAGGGAGGAGCAGCGGATTCTTCTAACCACTAGTTCTAGGGCAGCAGGTGCGGCTCTGGGTGCTGCTGGCTTCATGCAGGTCACGGGTGGGGTGACGACCGGGCACTGGGCCCGGGAGAATGGCGCATGGTCTCAGTCCTCCTGCAGAGTGTGACCTCTGGGGCCTACTCAGTGGCCATTTGCTCAATGTGGTCACTAAGCAGCTTGTATTGCTCTGGAAGAGAAAGCGATGTTATTTCTCAGATGAAAGATGGTGACAGGGACAGGTGTGTCCTGCTCTTGTCACTCAGACAGGGGCGAATCAGGGCCTCCCTGGGAGCAGGGCTGCGGCTCCTGAACTGCACTGCCTTCCGCAGGCCACACAGCTTGTGCGCTTCAGGGCAGGGCTGTGCCACGAGGGCGCACTGCACACGCAGCCTCTTGGCCAGCACGCCGCCTGTGGGGCAAGCAGGTGGCTGGAAGGGGCCCTCAAAAATGGGAACGCACCTTCTTATGAAAATGGTGTCATGGGGCGCAGCCCCTGCAGCCTGTGACAGGCACGGGGCAGTCAGTCTAGCTACCCTGGGGACTGGGAGAGGTGGCAGCATCCCCCTTGCCCTGTGCCAGTGAGGTGGGGCTGCTAGCAACATTCTGAGACAGTCTAATGGCCACTGGCGCTCTCATGCCTCCTCAGGCCGCTCCACTACAGACCCCGTGAATTAGGTGGAGAATGGGATTTTCTGAAGAATATGGGTCGATCCGTATCCACGCCTAAGTGTAAGTCCTTTTCAACGCAGAGGAACCAACGCTTGCAGCAGATGGCGCCGCGCACAGGGACTGGCCCCTGCGCAGGAGGGTGTCAACGTCACAGCATTTCCCTGCTGTCACGGAAGCCAGAGATTCCAGAGAAACCTCAAAACTCCCTCCCCACCACCCTTGTCCCCTGGCACTCGTCATGGCAGTGTGGTCTGAGAAAGAAAAGGATGCCACACGGGAGCCATTTAGAAGCGGGCAACTTGGGGCCGGAGTTTGGCTCCGTGCAAGCTGAGTCCAAGAGCTGCATCCTCCCCTTCCTCTGTCCTGTGAACACCGGGGCTGCAGCCTCAATGCCCACAATCCCATCTAGCAGAAATGGATTCCAAATGGAATGAGAGGTGTCCTGTGCGTCTGTCTACACACACTGGGGAGAGAGGAGGGCCGTCTGCCCAAAGCTCAGCACCAGTTTCCGACTGCAACACGACATGCCTTCTGCAGTGCAGAAGCACCAGTGGGCGCAGCACTGGCTCCTGACCCCAGCCCTGCCCGCCTCCCGCCAGCGGCCTCCCGCAGACGCACCTTCATCCAGGTTGCCAATCACAGCCTGCTTCTTCAGGAAGTCATTGCACAGCTTCTTGTTCAGTCCGAAGGCCAGCATGTTGTGCGAGAACGTGCTGCAGGAGAAAACCCAAGAGCGTCACCTGCCGGCTTCCCAGGGGAAAGGGCCGAGGAGCTGGGCCCTCGTCTCTGGGACGCCCACCGTGGCCTGCCTGGAATTGTCAGCAAAAACTGAAACGCACTGCTGCCTAATTAACCACCAGCAACTCTCGCTGTGGCACTGCAGCCACCAGGGGTTGCGTAGGAGGCGGATTAATTATGAGCTGGCATGGAGGCCAGTGAAATGAACTCCATGCCTCAGAGCAGGCTGACACAGCACCCCAGGGTGTGACAGCTTACAGGTCGTGACAGCTCACAGCGTGGGCCCGCCCCCTCTCTCCCTGCCCCCCCTTTCTCCTCCCCCTTTCCCACGCCCGCCCTTACCCCAGCTGCCCAAAGGTGATGTTCTCGTTGAACCGGAGGCTATCATCGCGCTCCTCCTGCGTCATGTGGCACCACTTCTCCCTGCAAGCACAGGAGGTGACAGGAGCGGGACTCAGACGGTGCTGTCCTTGCCCCTGCTCCTCGCCCTGCTCTGACCCGCGGGTGCTGGCGGCACCCATGTACGGCCCCCCGGGCACAGAAGGGGGTGCCTTTCACCAGAGAGCCGTGTGCTGAGCCTTTCCACAAGGCCTGCCGGGATCCTGACACCGCGCTTGGGGTCCCCAACGTTCATCTCACTCTTCACAAGATAAAGAGACGCGGAAACAGAAGGGTTCTTTATGGCCCTGAAGGTGCGGAGCGCCACGCGGCTACCCAGGCATTCTACAGGCAGCGGGGCCAGCCCCAGAGCCTCGCTACAGCGGGAGAGTGGGGTCTGGGCCTGTCCTCGGGGAAGAAACCTCCAGAGAGGGAAGGGACCTGCCCAACATCCCAGGACAGCGGGCCTTGGTGGCCCAGGGAACGTTTTCAGATCACACCCGTGTCTCCTGACCAGCCTGATGGGCCAGGCGAGGTGCGACATCCTGGGGCCAGTTGCGGATGGCAGCTTCCACAGAGGCCAAGGGCACTGAGGGCCACACTGTGCCCTGCCTGAAGAGGGCTGTGCCCTGCTCAGCTGTGCTTTCTCTGTGTCGGCTTTCTCAAGGCCCTCAATGCTCTCTCTAGTCCCCTCCCTAAATAACACAGACCAGGCCCCCACGCTTCCCGCTGGCCCCTCTGACCGTGACCCTGTGGGTGCTGTGGACCATAGTGAAGACAGCACCCAGGCGTGAGAACAAAGTGCTGAAAACCCAATGAGACGGCATCGACCGAGGTTTGCACCGAGCTTCAGGAGCCGGGGGGGACCCTGATGCGTTCTCCGCACAAGGCCTGGGGTGGGAAGGTGTTCTGAGCGTTCACCTGCTGCATGCTTTAGAGTGGAGTGCTGTTAATCCCTCATCTGTCTGGGGCAGAACAAGGGGACTCTCCACTCCTTCCCAGCCCTCATTGCCACAGAGCTTTTCTGCGTTGCCGGCTCGTTCCCCGCCCCTTGGGCAGGGCCTGGGGCCTCCCTGACCCTTACACAACTCCCTGGACACCACGCCCATCTGAGAAGCTACCTGCAGAAGCAGCTGCGAACGTGGAGACATTAATTTGAGCCCCTTTCCCCTTAAAAAGAAAACTGGATGGATGAGTCTGACTAAAATAAGGTTGAGAGGAAGATCAAAGAAGGGGGAGAAGGATGGTATGAGAGGGTGAGAGGTTGGGATCATGGAGAAGCCAGAGGAAGAGAAACAAAACAAAGGAACATGAACTCCTGGCTCCTCGCCACCCCCGGCCCACGAGAGGTCACTGGCACTGCTGCAGCTTAGCAGGCGTCACAGGGCATCAGGGGCATGATGGGAGTGACGGACAAAGGTCACTCCCGGCCTCCTTGTGCCGATGGCAGGATGCCCATGAAGACACCAGAATATACTTCCAGGTACTCTGCAGAGTCCCATCCCATTTCCTTCCTACTGTCTTTCCCCAAAACAGCCCCCTTGAGGGTTGTTCAGACATAAACCCCTGCACCACCCGCAGGCCTGCTGCGCACAGTTGGGCAGGTTGGGCCCTGCACAACCCCAGACCGCACGGGAATGGCTCCCTTGGAGTTGTGCAGCACAGGAGCCCCGACCCCTCCTCTCCTGAGCCAGATGACGCGGCGATTCTTCTCGCCATGGTGAGGACAAAAACTGAGACATTTAACCTGACGTCTCAAGAAAGAGGTAAATGGTCACTGGCAGTAGCAGATGAGGTCATGTCCACGATAAAATCACTTCTTACAACTGACTTCAGGCCGGGCGCGGTGGCTCATGCCTGTCATCCCAGCACTTCGGGAGGTCGAGGCGGTCAGATCACCTGAGTTCAGGAGTTCAAGACCAGCCTGGCCAACATGACAAAACCCCATCTCTACTGAAAATACAAATATTAGGCCGGGCGCGGTGGCTCACACCTGTAATCCCAGTACTTTGGGAGGCTGAGGCGGGTGAATCACCTGAGGTTAGGAGTTTGAGACCAGCCTGACCAACATGGTGAAATCCCGTCTCTACTAAAAATATGAAATTAGCCGGGCATGGTGGTGGGCACCTCTAATCCCAGCTACTTGGGAGGCTGAGGCAGAATTGCTTGAACCCAGGACGTGGAGGTTGCAGTGAGCTGAGATCGCACCACTGCACTCCAGCCTGGGCAATAAGAGCAAAACTCTGTCTCAAAAAAAAAAAGAGAAAGAAAGAAAAAGAAAAGAAAAAAGAGAAAAGAAAAGAAAAATTAGCTGGGCATGGTGGCGGGCACCTGTAATGCCAGCTACTCGGGAGGCTGGGACAGGAGAATAGCTTGAACCCAGGAGGTGGAGGCTGCAGTGAGCTGAGATTGCACCACTGCACTCCAGCCTGGGCAACAGAGTGAGACTCCATCTCAAAAAACAAAACAAAAAAGAGTTCAATTTCCAGTGCTGATCAAGCTCTGACACTGCACAGCGAGCTGAACTTGCGTCTACACTGCCTCGGTGGGAATCTGGATGGGACTGACCGCCTGCTGCGAGGGAAACCTTCTGAACGGAGAAACACCTGCCTCTGGAAACAGAGAGGATGATAATGGCTTCTTGCTGTCAGCAGAGGTTACCAAAAAAGAGATGGCATGTTAGAGGCATGAGGTTGCCTGGGGACTTGGAGGCAACCTCGCCCCCTGCCACCTGCCTCAATCTCAAAGCAATATTCAGCCTTCTTCTGGGGAAGGCTCAGGGGCCGGTCAGAGATGAGGAGCCGGTGCAGAGCTATGTGTGGACAAAGCTCATCTGCCCTGGTGAGAAGGCCCAGGAGGCCAGCTGTCCCCTCAGCTGAGCTCAGGACAGACCACCCCTCCCCAGCAGCACCGACCAGCTCTCAGAGGATGCTGAGATGCTCCCAGCCCTCCTTGGGCCAGGGCTGTGGGGCTGACTTGTTCCTGGAAGGCTGGTTAATCACACTGTCACCCAGAGAGTCACTGAAAACCCAGGGGCTTTGTTCATGAAAGGTGTTTGTTAGGCCTAAGTGCTCCTTTAAAAGCCAGAGGTCTGCATCAAAGAAACGTGATTGCTAACGACAATGAACACCACACATATCACTGATTAGAGGAGGCAACTTCAGGCATCCTCCAGTGAGACATCGTAACAGGGAATCTATTTGAAGAGGCCGATCGGCAACTCTGAAAACACATCACAAAGGATTCTAGCCCACAGAAAGGTGAACAGGGAGAGTCAGACCCCTCTGTGGGCTGGCAGGAAACAGCCCTGTTCTAGGATTTCCTCCGGGACCCCTCGCACCCCCATCCCCGAGCGGCTGGGAAAGTGAGAGTGTGTCCTTCTTCCGTGCCTCCTCAACCTGGCGGCCCCAGCACACCGGAGAGTGGGTGGTGTTGCAAACAGGACAGGCTCTGCACCCCACCCGCGGTTTCCCAGATGAGCCGGGACCCATGTCTCCAGTGTGAACAGTGAGGCCAAGCGCGAGGCTTTCAGGTCTGCTCAGAAGGGGCTGAAGTGGCTGGCGGGGAGCCCAGCTGGCCCAGAACTGGAGCCTGCTTTCCCTGGCGTCACCGCCTTTGCCTCTCGAGCTCATGCTATCGCCAGGGCGTCTCAAGGTGTCACGTTTGTTTTCTGACTATTTCGGAGTGCTCTGGCCTTGGCAGGCTCCCACCTGCCCAGTTCCGGGATGCATTGCCAGCCTGCCCTAGTGCTGGCCTCACCTCCCCAGGGCTGCCCTCCCCACCGGCTGCCAGGCTGCACCTGCATCTGGGCTGTGCCTGCTGCAGCAGCTCAACACAGTGCACAGCCCCCAACCTGAAGTGACCTTTGCAGGAGCCCGCACTGTAAAATGGAACAAAGTCACGTGGACACACACACCTCTTCTCCTCCTCCTCTCCAGCATCCCCTCTGGAGCGGCAGCAGAAACAGGTAAACAAAGGAACATGTCAAAGTCATGCAAGATATGTGGATGGTAAAAAGAGAACAAGCAGAGGAGGGTTATTACAGGCAGAAACGAGCGGGACAGAGAAAGACAGGATATTCGAAATAAATTAACTTCCTAGAGGTCTGAGAACTAAAGAGGCAACGCCCATCCGCCTAGAGGCATCTAAGCATTTCCCTGTTCTGGTCTCCTGCCAGAGCGGGGTCTCTCTCGAGGGTCCTCGGGCAGTCTCAGCGTCTTTCCCTCTCCACGACCCCCTGTGCCTCCCCAGGAAATGCGGCCATGGCAGAATGCTCTGGGTCCCTCGCCCCTGACAGGGTTTTAGCTGCCCCCAGAGGGAAGAATTTCACTTGAGACACGGCAAGTGCTGGGAGACTCGAGTCTTCCCCCCAGCAGCAGCCATCTGCCCACTCTCCTGATGAGGGTTAAGGGTAGAGGGTCTCCCTGGTGTTACAGAGGGATGGATGTGCTTTATTAATGAGGAGACCGGGGCCCTGAGAGGTTCAGAGCCTTCAGTCACACGACTGGAAGGGGCTCCCCCAGGGGCTGCTGTCCCTTGCTGTCGTGTCACTATACACGGTGGATGGCATCTTTGCTTGCTATGGCATCGGCCCCCGTGGAGTGGGTGCCAGCCCCTCCCTGCTGCCATGTGCGAAGTGACCCTCAGCGAAGCTGGGAAGGTCTGGTCAGGCTGCAGACCCAAGAGGTGAGTTGCGAGCGGCAACTGCATTCACCAGGCACCAGCTCTCGAGGGCAAAGTCTCGGGGGAGGTGGCCAGCCCTTCCTCCCAGGACCCTGCTCCAGGCATTCATCCCCAGGATGCTGATTTGGTTCAGCAAACAGCAGGGTGGGCACGGGAGCAGGGGTCCTGATGGTATTAGTGGGAGCTGGCAATTTTAGGAGGGTCAGGCCAAGTCATGCCAGAGCCCCAGGACAGAAAGCGCTCATGCAAACTGAGCACCCCCACCCATGAAGCCGAGACCCTCAGGCAGCTTGCAGGGCACCAGGGCCATGACGGGGTGAAGAAAAACCAGACACGTCCACTCAGCTGCTCTTCTGCTCTCCTCTTCTGCAACCGGGAAATAAAGCCACTCCCTGGTCCTTTTTCCTGAGGCCAAATGGGGCCACACTTTGCTCCTACCTGGTAGTGGGAGATCGCTTTGTCCTCTCACAATGGACAGCGTCAAAAAAGGCTGCATTCCAGAACCTCAGCGTGTGCCTGCAAGACAGAGCCCTAGTCACACTCTCTCCAAGGGGAGGCCGGGAGGACACGGGTCATGGGCCACTTGAGGGATAAATAAGGGCAGTGTCTCACATCTGTCTGAGCTTCTAAAAAAGTCTCAGAGAGGTAGGGCTGAGAGGGAAAAACTGAGCATATGGCTTGATCTAAATAAAGCTGTTTCCCTGGGGCTCCCGGTGGCTGCGTATCTCTTAGGAGAGATGGCGCAAGTGGGAGGGAAAACTACGCTATCCCGGGCTGCACCGCAGGCAGGAGGGCGCTGGCGGGCAGAGCTGAAGCCACCTGTAGGACAGCCACAGAGGTGGGCTGTTTTCTTCTTCCGCCTTTCCTGTTGGGACTCCCAAGAGGAAGCACAGGGCTGGGATGATGTGCTTTTCTACATCAGGGTCTAGTAACATAAATGGGAACCCGGCAGTAACACGTCATGTGCCGAGAGAACTAACGTTCATAGGGACACTCAAGGAAAAAACATTCTTTGGGTTTTTTTTTTTTTTTTTTTTTTGAGATGGAGTTTCACTCTTGTTGCCCAGGCTGGAGTTCAATGGCATGATCTCCGCTCACTGCAACCTCTGCCTCCCAGGTTCAAGCATTCTCCTGCTTCAGCCTCCTGAGTAGCTGGGATTACAGGCACCCACCACCACACCAGGCTAATTTTGTATTTTTAGTAGAGATGGGGGTTTCGCCATGTTGACCAGGCTGGTCTCGAACTCCTGACCACAGGTAATCTGCCCGCCTTGGTCTCCCAAAGTGCTGGGATCACAGGCATGAGCCACAGCACCCAGCAGAAAAATTCTTCTTGAAGAACATCAGGGGTTGGCAAACTATGGTATGTAGGCTGAAGCAGGCCGGCGGCTTGTTTCTGTAAATAAAGTTTTATTGGAACAAGCCACGCTCATACATTTATACAACGTCTCTGGTGGTGTTCACGCTACAACAGCATAGTGGTGTGGCTGCAGCAGAGACCATCTGGCCCGCAAAGCCTAACATATTTATTATCTGGCCCTTCACAGAAAAGTTTGCCAAGCAACAATGAAAAGACGGCAGCCAAGTCAAGGACAGAGGAGCTGAGCTGAATCACCAGACGGCGGGACAAAGCACGCCAGCTTCTCCCCGTCCTCTGCTTCCACGGGAACCGGGTCCAGCCTCAAGGGCATTCCTACAGCTCCAGCCCTGCCCTCTGCCCTCTGGGTCCCTGTGGCACTCCCTGGCCAAGCTCCTTAAGTAGCCCTTGCTTGGTTAACAGGCAGAGTGCACCACAGCCAACTGTGATCTTCAGGGGAGGGAGGGCCTGTCGGACACTGATTCCAGGTGCTAGCAAAGCACTCTAAAATATGTTGAGAGGCTTCAGAGAGATTAGCGCAGCCTGACCATCATCTGCAGAGCTGGGCCATATGCCAGGGTGGCCAAGATTTCCCCTGCAACACTGGCCTCACTTCAACCATCACCTTCATTCATTTATATACATGTAAGAGCTTAATTGGGATATAATTCACATGCCATGAAATTCACCCTCTAAAATATACAATTCAGTAACTTTTAGTATATTCACAGAGTTGTGCAGCCACCATTTCCAGAACATTTTCTCACCCCATAAAGAAACCTCATCCCCATCAGCAGTCACGCCCTGCTCCCCATTCCGCGCCCTCTGCCTGGGCTATCAGTCATCTGCTGTGTCTCTAAGAATCTGCTATTCTGGACATTTCATAGGGATGATACAATACGTGGGCTTCTGTGTCTGGCTTCTTCCACTGAGTTTCACGTTTCCCAGGCCTATCCCTGCTGCAGTGTGGAGCGGCATGCCATTCCTTTTCATGGCTGGCTAATATTTCATGCAATGGATGGATTTTGTTTACCCATTCATTACTGGACGGCCATGAAGGTGGTTTCCACTTTGGGGCCATAATAAATGATGTTGCTACAGACATTTGTACAAGGTTTTGTGGTGACACATTTTTCTCTTGGGTGACTCCTAGGAGTGGAGCTGCTGGCTCACAGGGTAACTCCGTGTTTCACCTTTAAAGGAACTGCCAGACTGTTTCCACAGCGGCTGCTCCATTTACATTCCTCCTAGCCATACAGGAGACCTCCAATTTCTCCACATCCTCACCAATGCCTGTGAGGGTTCATCTTTTTATTCTGCCACCCTGGGGGGTGTAAGAATTCCGCCATTCTGATGGGGACAAAGGCAACTAGAAGTGATCCTGGGGACTGACTGCTGGCCCCGTAAGAGGGTGACAGGAAGCCACAGGCTCGGCCTTACCAGATGGGCTGCTGCTTCAGGTGCGTGTACAGGTAGATCTTCTCCCCCTTCTTTTCGTCCTCGGGGCTGTACACAGTCACTGTGGGAGAAGAAAGGCTGAAAGGAGCTCTGGCTGCGTGCCCGCTGTTGGCAAACCCCGGGCGACAGCCTCCCAGCAGCCAGTTTCTCCCAGAACGCCACAGAAACATGTGGTGCAAACTCCACCATGGCTTTTCTGCTAGCCATAGCCAGTAAGGGTGCTATTCCCACCCGGCAATAAGGACTTCCTCTGAGGGATGGTTCCACAGCACAGCCGCAGCCCCTCGCGGTAACCCTTAGCCTTCCTGGGATTAAGGAATTTAGTTCCTCCTTAGAAAAGTGGCTCTTCCACAGAAACTCAGTGAGAAAATACAGATCACGGGAGCTGGGAAGCAACTGGGGCATCAGCCAGGGCAAGGTTCCTGTGCTCCGGGGAGGCAGGAAAGCCCCAGAGGCCGTGCACCTGCTTGTGTGCTGGCTGAGGGGGTGTGGGCCAGGCATCTCCTGCTGTTGCCTGGGCAGACTCACCAGCCCTGGGCCGCTTCTCCTGGGGTTTGCTCTCGTCTTCCCTGAGGGAAAGAAGGCACCATGACGACAGATGAGACTCACACCACACTTTCTCAACTCAAAGATGCTGTTCTATACTTCTCAGTGGGACTGGGTACATTTAATATGGCTTGCTCTGAAAAGCCTTTTATGAAATCAAGGCTCTATTTGTCAACTGCCAGTGTTTCAGAATTCAGGAAATGTGGCATTGAGGTTTCTTTATGTCATTTTCTCTGAATCCAAAGCTGAATAGGGCAGAGGCGGCGGCCAAGGCACATGGCTGCGGCCCAGCCATGGGTGGGAAGAGGGGACCCCGGGGCTTGCTCTGGCTGTCGCATCCCTCCTCCTTGTGGAAGTCATAGCTTCTATGAGTCTATTTCTGATGTGCCTGTCCCCAAAGTGTTCCTCGAGTGTCTGTCAGAGCCCTGCTCTCCTGGGGACAGTGTTTTTCTCCTGTGACTTAAGACCGTGTTCCACAAGCACTCACTCTTGGTCCAGCCAGGGGATGGAGGGGACAGAGAAGACAGAGTGGAGGGGCTGCAGTTCCCTCTGCCATCGGACAATCCCCTGGGCTCCTCATCAGTCCCAGGAAGTGTGGCCCCCAGGGACATCCCTGCATGTCACTGGGGGGCTCAGCTTTGCAGACCATAGCAAGCTGTGGGGGCAGAGGCGGCTGGGCAGCGCAGTGCTCCTTGACAGTCTCTGGGCCTCACCCGCACCCTCCCTGCTGCCCCCACCCGAGCTCCACACCAGCCTCTCCCCCGTCCCATGCAGGTGGGAGGGACCCCAAGGCCACACGTACTCGTTCCTCCTGGCCAGGGGCCCCTTCAGCTTGGTCTCCAGCCCCCCGAAGAAGCCCTTGACATTCTCCGTCCTGGCCGAGGTGTTCTTCAGCAGCCGCTCGGCGATGTCCTTCTTCTCAGCCAGCCAGCTGTTTGCGGATTTCAGGTAGGAGTCGATGCTGCCCGCGGGCTTCTCCCGGGCCTCCGGGGGCAGCAGCTGCGGTTTTCCTTGGACGAGAGAGGGAACAAGACGAGGCCAGTGAGGCCGGGGTCTGCACCTGCTAACTGCAGAGGCCCAGGGGGAGCCCCGCAGGGGTCCTGTGCAGTGGGGATACAGGAGCCTCCCTCCTCAGCCCAGGACAGGGGTGGTGCAGGCTCAGCCAGCCCAGGATGAGGAAGTGCGGTCCCTGCTCCCCGTGAGCACTCTCAGCACCTGCTGTGCATAGAGAAGCCACTAGGAGCAGGGAGGGAGCAAAGGAGATGCAGGCTGGAGCCCGGCCCAGGTGGCAGGGTCTGCAGGGAGGCGAGGGCAGAGGCCCAACCATGCCAGCGCCAGGGAGGCAGAAGCCAGCTGGGCACCAGGCCCCTGAAATGGGAGTGCGGAGACAGCAGGGGGGTGGGGAGCCCTGGCACCCAAACTCTCTTAGCCAATGGACGGACACGAGGCCCTGGCACCCCCGCAGGATGACATACCCCCATGGGCCTCAGTGCCCACTATAAGTCAAAGGTTCTCTGTAGGCCCTGGCAGGGTGTCCTCACTAGCTGAAGCTGCTGTGGGTAGCCCTGTCTCAGGAAGCAGTGTCTATTCATTATGTGTCTATCTGTTCTTCAAAAAGGAAGAGCCAAAGGCTGTACTGGGGGGTTCCCACTCCACCCAAAGCAGCTGATGAGTGGCCTGGCGGGAAGGGCCTGCCCGCTGGTGTGGCTGGGACACCAGCCATGGCAGTTGGACCAAATGAACTGAGGGGTGTGGAGAGGACAGCTGTGGGAGGGGGAGCAGATGCACACACCCCAGGAGTGAGCATGCAGGTACCGAGAGAGGACAGCACGGGGGGTCGGGGCCTAGCACCTCCCTGACCCAGCTCCAGTCCACGTGGCGGCTTTCAGCAACCTTCCACTTATGGTGGCCTGAATGAGTCCTGTTGCTGCAGCCCAAGGAGACTCACGCAGGAAGCCCTTGAGCTCCAACGTACCAGAAAGTTCCAACGCAATGAGGCAGAAGAGATATCATAGCCTCAGCATCAAGAACAGTCCACACTCCTCATAAGCCGTCTCCAGCCCATCCCTGGGAACTCTCTGCCACTTCAGATCCTAGACAGCTGCTCCCCACCACCCTCCAATAACCAAATGTGTCTTGTTTTGGTAAAACATAAAACTGACTATCTTCACATCCAGCAGTTCCTGCCTCCACCATAAAATGTCCTGCCTAGCATGTTTCTCCTATCAGCTCGGGAGTTTCCTTTGCACCCTCGTCAGTCAACCTCCCACCCCATGATTCGGACCATGTTTTCTCTGAAGTCTCACTCCTCCCTAACACCAGCGTCCTCTGTTCTCTGGAGGCCCCGTAGCTTTTGCTTTTAACCATGAAGAAAGCTTCCGCTGACACATTATTGGCTGGTGAGCCTCAGGATCCCGTGGGTGAACTCCACATCAGCCCACTCGTGTCTTACCGATATGGTAGTAGGTGAAGCACATGGTCATGAGGTTCTTGGCAGGCCCAAAGTCATCCATCTGATGACACCTGAAACAAGAGGCAAGGCTCACGGCTAAAGATCGCTCCACTTGCTTCTCCTTGCAAGTCGGTCAGCCATCGCTGAGACACTTGACACATGTGTCCCAATTAATATCTTCCCCCACTGGAGACGCACAAAACAATCTCCCCGAGTTCCATGAGGAGAGCTACATGCAGGCACATGGCCTGGGACTGACTGAATGGGAAGGAGTTTGTGGTCTGCCTGACTGGCTTCCTTCACTGAAAAGGTAAAAGCCAGGGCCCGGGAAGCTCAACTCGACGCCCAGGAGCAGAGCCAGGCCTCAAGTCTCAGTGCACAAGAAGCCAGGCCTCGAGTCTCAGTGCACACCCGTGGCCCAGGCCACCTGGCTCTCCAGCCCCTGCCTTCTCAGGAATTAGCAGTAAGTTGGAGGACCTTCCCCGCATCTGTGGCTCTCAGGCTCCTGCCCACAGCACCGGTGGTGGGGCATCAGGAGGTGGAGCCTCTGATCCAGCAGGTTTGGTCTTGGGCGGGGCCATTCCTTTGTACTGCAGGTTTGTCTTTCTATCCTGATCCCTTTTAGACTTTTCTTTTCTGTTTAGGTTTTAACTTTGGACAATTATTACTCTACGAGTCAAAAGAAATTATCTAGACAGTGGGATTAAGGGCCATTTTTATCTTTTTATATAAAAAACTAACTAAATTAGTAATAAAACTATAAAAGACTAAAAGTAAAAACTAAGGATGTTTAACAAACTAAAGATTATAAAACTAAAAAATCCCATATTGTCTAAATATTGAAAGAGTTTTTGTTTCACTTTGTTTTTGCAACTATACAAATATATATATGCTCAGGGACCAAGTGATGGCGAGAATCTTTGTGTTTTGGCAGGTTGGGACTTTAACCCCTCCCTCCCCAACTTACTTATGTAAGACAAAAAACTCAAAGAAAAATGGAGAATTACTTTTGGCCTAGTGCAAATAAAAAAAAAAAAAGGAAATGGAAAATCAGAATTATGCAAAATGGGGGTTCGTGAAAATGCCTGGGACTGCATATGTTGGAAATTGAAGTATCTTAACTGCATGAGAGAATGTTTCATAAAAGGCAACCTAGAGGGCCTGTTTTAAACCACTACCCTCTTGGCTGAAGGTGAGGGCTCACTCAGCCTCTTCCAGTGAAGGTTTCTTAGCCCTCCCCTGGCCAGCTCTGAAGGCCAGACCTCAGAGGAGAAACGGATCTTGGACTTCGGGTGTCCTGAGCAAGGGCAGGAAAAATAGGGATCCTCCTTTTGTTGGTCTTCTTCTTCCAGTATATGCCCAAGTTCAAAGAGAAAGAGAGAAAGGGGAGAGACATGAAGAAGCAGAACTGGGACTTGAGAGAGCAGGCTGGGTGTGGTGCTTCACGCCTGTAATCCTAGCAGTTTGGGAAGCTGAGGAAGGAGGATTGCTTGAGCCCAGGAGTTTGAGACCAGCCTGGGAAACATAGGAAGACTTCATCTCTACTAAGTATATGTGTGTGTGTGTGTGTCTGTGTATGTGTATATATCTATATGGAATATGGCCAGGCGTGGTGGCTCACTCCTGTAATCCCAGTACTTTGGGAGGCTAAAGCAGGTGAATCACTTGAGGTCCGGAGTTCAAGACCAGCCTAGCCGACATGGTGAAACCTTGTCTCTACTAAAAATACAAAAATTAGACAGGTGTGATGGTGCATGCCTGTAGTCCCAGCTACTCAGGAGGCTGAGGCAGGAGAATTGCTTGAACCCAGGAGGCGGAGGTTGCGGTGAGCCGAGATCCCACTGCACTTCAGCCTGGGTGACAGAGTGAGACTCTGTTTCAAAAAAATAAAATAAAATAAAAAATGAATTTAAAATGAGCCAGGTGTGGTGGCATGCACCTGTAGTCCTAGTTATTTGGGAGGCTGAGATGGGAGGATCCCTCGAACCCAGGAGATTGAGGCTGCAGTGAACTGTGATTGAACCACTGTACTCCTGCCTGGGTGACAGAGCAACACCCTGTCTCAAAAAAACCCAAAGAAACAAAAAAAAAACGACTCAAGCAGCTATCTTTGGTTGGGAGACAAAGAAGTAAAGGAGGGAGATTTTTCAGGCCTGGAAGGACAAAACAAAGGCAGTGATGTGGGAAGGTGGCGATGGGATGAGCCAAAGACCAGGAGAGGACACAGGCCCCAAAGCAGGGGCTGCTTGGAGGCCTTCTGCAGGAGATGGGGATAGTGGGGTGCAGACATGCCCAGATCAGGGCTCCCAGCCCCAGAATCGAGGCTCCAGGTCCGTCAGGCCACTGCCCAGCCTCCCTAAGGCCAAGAAGCATCCCCTCCATTTCACACCTTGGAGGCATGAAGCTAGTCTGGTGACCCCAGAGAGTCATGCTCCTGAGAAGGGGGTCTGTGCCTTATGGAGTCTGGCTCCCTAATCTCACAAGTGAGCAGGGACAGAGATTGGATTGGCCCCAAATCTCCAGCTGGCGGCCATGCCCTTTCCACCACCCCTCACTGCCTACCAAGGGCTTCTGTGATAAAAGGCCCCAGCGGTGCCTAATCAGTGTTCACAGGGAAGGCTACAGTCCTCCCAACATATCATTAAGTGTTTATTTGCTCATGGGGTTGGCAGTTGAGTTTGAAGTACTTTATAACGGGAACTTGGGAAAGTGCCAGAACTCCCGAGGAGGGCAGGGCCACAGTACATCATCACCACCTGGCCCTGAGGACCCGCCCAGAGGATGCTCCTCACATCCAGCTGCAGTCCTCTCATCACTGCCAGCTAAGGATGGCCAGCCCTGTTCCCGTGAGATGGTGGTCACGACTGTGCCTTTTAGCTGATGCTGGGTGTAGCAGAGCAACTGCAACCTGATGACTAGTGTGGATATGACTCACAGCTGGTTATGACACGGCTAGGTGGGGAGGGAAGGAAGGAGGGAAGAGGAGCTTACCAGGACAAAGGCTTTGTGCAATGGCATTACTTACTCGAACAGCACCACTGCAAAAGACTGCACCAGGCGGTAGAAGGTTGCCTCTGAGACACACTTGGAGTTGCAGCGCTGTCCAGAAAGAGGCCAGACACGTCATTGAGGTTCAGGGTGACACACGCAGCACTCAGTGAAGCTGCAGGCTTTCCACTCTCAGTGTTTCCAAATGCAGCTGGGATTAGGGCCCAGGATGGCTGCTGCCTCTGCACTACAGAACCTGCCCCTCCTGCCAGGACCCGGGCAGAGTGCAGCCACCTGCACCCAACCATCACTGGGCAGGGCACACGAAGGGGTTCCCCTCGGTGTCCTTCCCAGATTTTTAAAAGTAGGAACATCATACACACCCACACACAGAAAAGTACCCCACAATGACAACGCTGGCTGTTTCCAAACTGTGGATTTGTGGGTAATAAACTTCTCTTTGCTCATCTGCATTTTCTAACTTTTCCATGAAAAATAAATTATTTGCACTAAAATACTTAAAAACTAAAAACTTAGGCCACTCAGGAAAAAAAAAGAACCTACTGGATATTTACAAAATTAAATTATTTTCTAAACTTTGTTAATATATTTTTCTTCACGTGACAGTCACAGTCTTGAATATTTTTTATTTTTTACAAAAAATCGAGTATTACGGGTTAATAAAAATATGCACGCACATAACTCACATGCTTGCCTTTAAAAAATGAGATTTTTCCGGAATTTCATGAAGTTGAAAGTCCAGTTTCTTACTCTTTCCCTTGAAGTGTGACGTCCAAATGAGCTACTTACTGTTTCTCACTATTCTTTTTTAACTTTTAGAGATGGGGGAAGGGGGGACCTCACTATGTTGCTCAGGCTGGTCTTGAACTCCTGGGCTCAAGCGATCCTCCCGCCTCGGCCTCCCAAAGTGCTGGGATTACAGGCGTGAGCCACTGTGCCCAGACTGTTTCTCACTATTCTCAACACTCCTTTTCAGAATATTCTGGGGTAAGTTTTACTTTTTTTTCTGTTGGGTCATTTCCCTTGACTCTTTTCTCCAGAGTATCATTATAGGATAAAGTCAAATTTGTTATGCTTCACCAGATTCTTCCTCAAGAGTAAATGCCCATCCTTCCCATCACCTCGCCCTTACCTGGGCACTCACGTATCGAGCAAACCACTCCCGGCCTTTTCCATTTTCACTGCTGCAGTACTCTCCAAACTTGGCTTTCTCCTCCTGATCTAAGTCCTCCCTAAAAAAAAAAAAAAAAAAAAAAAAAAAAAAAAAAAGGAGGGGAAAAAAAACCCTTTTCAATCCGCTGGAGCAATAGGGGAAGAGCAAGGAGAAGGAACTAAGGAAGTATTATTGCTCCCCAGCCAAGCACAGACCCCAGTTCCCATCACCTCGTCTCAGCCTCCGGGCGGTCCCGTGAGGAAAGGGTGTTACTGCTATTTCAAAGCTGAGGAGCCTGGCTCGGAGAATCACACTCCGGCTTGAGAGTGGCGAACCAGAGTTCTATCCAGGCTTCCTGGTTCCAAAGCCCATGTCCTTCCCCTGCCCCTCCCGACCCCTGCCTGGGGAGGTCTGAGTCCGGATAAGGGCACGAACCCTAAGAGGTCTTGGTTCTCCAGCTCTCTGACTTCCCACTAGTTTTTGATGCTGAAGTCAGCATGGAACCAGCCCCTGAATTTGCTCTGTCTTAGTATACTGACACGAAGGTTTGATGCCAGGAAGAAAACCATCTCCCACATATCAGCAGGGCGCTCGCTCATCCCTCTGCACTTCCAGAGTGAGGCTGCTCACGGGCCAAGGCATCCCCAGCTGTGTGTGAGAGGTATGGAGATCAGGGGCCTCCACCTTGGTGTCACCACCACTAGGATGGATAACATGCTCACATAATTTCAGGCCACTTCTCATCACTCTTTGTAAGGCGCCAATATTCTTTCCTAAATGTAAACACTCGAAAATGAAGCAGAAGGCTGAAGATCACTTGGCTTATGCAATCTTCATTTATGTTTTGTAGAAAACATCTTGGTCCTCATTTACTCTAAATACCAACATCAGATGAAATATGTGTTATCTGCAGGTTTTTGCAGTAATTTCTGGAATGCTTGTGAAGACGCATCTGACTCAGGTGTCCACATTCTGTATTGCTGACAGGCTACTGCAAATAGAGGCTGCCTTTCCTGGCAAATGAGCAAACTTCTGGGTGTTTTCCCCTTTTCATTAACTGGGGTGTGCTCAGAGAAAGCGCACCCATCTCGGTGTTGGTCAAACAAAACAAGTAGGACGCTACATCTGCTCTCCTAAAATGCACTCAAATCAAACATAAATGCATTTTTATTAATTTTTTTTTTTTGAGACGGAGTCTCGCTCTGTCTTGCCTAGGCTGGAGTACAGTGGTGCAATCTCAGCTCACTGCAACCTCTGCCTCCTGGGTTCAAGTGATTTTCCTGCCTCAGCCTCCTAAGTAGCTGGGATTACAGGCACCCGCCACCAAGCCCAGCTAATTTTTGTGTTTTTAGTAGAGAAGGGGTTTCGTCATGTTAGCTAGGCTGGTCTCAAACTGCTGGCCTTAGGTGATGTGCCCGCCTTGTCTCCCAAAGTGCTGGGATTACACGTGTTAGCCCCCGCACCCAGCCCATAAATGCATTTTTAGATGGTCAGGTATGTGGATTATCATACAACGGGTCCCTTTTCTAACCACACAGAAAACTGAGGCTGGTCTCCATCAATGGAGAAGCACCCACCAAAAAGGCAGAAGTCAGCCCTTGAGAGTTTACACACATGGGGCTCAAATCACGGTGGAAACAATGGGCTCTGCAGAGTAAAAGGCAACATTTCTTTTTCTTTTTTTTTTTTTTTTTTTTTGAGACAGGGTCTCCATTTGTCACCCAGGCTGGAGTGCAGTGGTATGATCAGGGCTCACTGCAACCTAAGCCTACCTGGTTCAAGTGATCCTCCCACCTCAGTCTCCTGAGTAGCTGGGACTATGGGCACATGCCACCATGCCTGGCTAATTTTTGTGTGTTTTTTTGTAGAGTTTCACTATGTTTCCTAGGCTGGTCTCAAACTCCTGGGCTCAAGCGATCCTCCTGCCTCAGCCTCCCAAAATGTTGGGAATACAGGTGTAAGCCACTGAGCCTGGTCACAAATCCTAACTGCGTTAATGAAACTGGAAAACTTTCCCTCAGCAGTGCCTCTCAGACGCTGATGTGCATGAACTGTCTACCGATCTTGTTAAAGGGCACGTTCTCACTCAGTGGGGCCAGCCAGGGCTCAAGACTCTGCATTTCTCACAAGCTCCCAGGAGATGCCAATGCTGCCAGCCCACACATGACAGAGCAGCAAGACCATCTGTATCTAGTGTGCTGCCGTGAATGGTGGAAGAGCCACAATCCACACGTGAACCCCATGGCTCTGGGGTGTGTGTGCATCCTCCTTCCCCTGGCTGAGATTTTAACAGGCAGTGAACTGGGGTAGGGAAACATCAGGCCGATGCACAGATTCCCGCTTCTCAGTGGACGTCACAGCCCCAAACTCTCCCTTCCTGCTGCTCCAATTGTCAACACTCATTATTTTACCCTTAAGAACCACAAAAGAACAGCCACCCAGGGAAGGGCCCTATGCAAACAGCTGCTTCAGAATCAGCTGCTGGCCAGGGTCAGCACTTTGGAGGGTCGTGGCAGGAGGACTGCTTGAGGCCAGGAGTTTGAGGCTGTGGTGAGCTATGACTGCACCACTGCACTCAAGCCTGGGTGACAGAGCGAGACCTTGTCTCCAAAAGGAAAAAAAAAAATTAGCGGGGCATGGCGGCGTGTACCTATAGTCCCAGCTACTCGGGAGGCTGTGGTGGGAAGATTGCTTGAGCCCAGGAAGTGGAGGCTGTAGTGAGCCGTGATTGTGTCACTGTACTCCAGCCTGGGCAACAGAGTAAGGCCCTGTCTCTAAAAAAAAGAATCTGCTTCTTATGAGCACACCAGTATGGGTAACCACAGCTTTATTATCTTATCTTGCCCCTATATTTAATTTCAGTGAATAATTGCAACCTCTTAGCCAACTATAGCTGTGACAAGGAGCGCTAGGGAGTGGTGAGCCTACAAATGCTCAGATGGTCCCAGAAACAGAACAGGTGCCCCTTGTGTTTAGCAACGATGAGGTGAGACAGGTGTCGGCGGAGTGAGAGGAAAGAGACAGCCCCCTCCAAAGCCTTGCTTAAGAATTGCATGGATAAAATTCGGGAACAACATGCATTGGAAAATAACAGAGCTCTGCCAGGCACGGTGGCTCACGCTTATAACCCCAGCGCTTTGGCAGGCTGGGACAGGCGGATCACATGAGACCAGGAGTTCGAGAGCAGCCTGGCCAACATGGTGAAACCCTGTCTCTATTAAAAACACAAAAATTAGCCGGGTGTGGTGGCAGGTGCCTGTAATCCCAGCTACTTGGGAGGCTGAGACAGGAGAATTACTTGAACCTGGGAGGCAGAGCTTGCATTAAGCTGAGATTGCACTACTGCACTCCAGCCTGGGTAACAGACCCAGACTCGGTCTCAAAAGAAAAAAAAAGAAAGAAAGAAAACAAACCAAAAGAAAATAATGGAGCTCACAGGGATGATGGGGACCTGTGAGCCGAGTACTCTGGAGCGCGTCCCTCCAGGGGTTCTCCGCACGTTTGCCCTTCCAAATCACCTGGGTGCCGCACATGCTTTGACGCCGGGCCTCACCCTAGAGAACTGATGTAATTGGTCTGGAGTGAAGTCCAGACTCGGGTACTCTTTAAAAGGTCCCCATGTGGCTCTGCATGCGGGCTGGAGTGGAGGGAGGCCCCTGCAGTGGCCATCCCTGGCTGATGAGGAAATGGAAGCTCTGGCCCCAGGTGGCACCCTGGGGAGAGGCAGAGCCAAGAGCAGAAGGTGGGTCCCCTTGGGCCCTGTGGCCATGCCAGGCTGTCTTGTCCACACAGGCCCCTTACCCTCCAGAGAAGATCTTCTCCACGTAGCCACGCATGAAGTCCCTGAGAGCCAGGGTCTCTTCATCCTGGGTAGACTCGGTGCTCTGGCTGGAGGAGAAGGACTCGTTGGAGGAGGAGCGGCGGTCCTGGTCCCAGGACGGGTGTGACGGTGACTCGCCCATGTCATTCTCACTGTCCGCAGACTCAGTGGTCTCACTCTCTGACGCGCCATCCCCCAGGGAGCCATCCCCGTCCTGCAGTGCAGGGGGTGGTGCCTCCAGGGGAGAGGAGGTGGGTGCCTCAGGCCCAAAGTCGATTAGCGAGCCCATGGGGACCTCCGGGGCCTCCATGGCTCTGGGGAGCTGCTGGGGAGGCTGCCTGGAGGGGAGCCCGGCAGCCTGGCGTCCCAGGTGTGTTAGTAGGAGCCCACCAAGCTCACAAGTTGCCGGTAACTGCTGGCCACCAAGAATGAGTCCTTCGCAGCAGCTCACCTGGCCCTACAGCATCTAGAATGGAAACACAGACACAGACATTAACGCCATTCCTCACCAGAATCCAGACCTAGATCACACACTCCCCGGAAAGAGAAGAATCTCTGCTCTTCTGGAATTTGGGGTGCCTCTTCACCATCATCTTCCTACCGTCCACTTTACTGTTCAAAACCTGGTACACGGTAGGCCCTCGATAAATACTTGTTAAATGAATGAACAAATAAACACTGACATCAGGATTTCTCCAAGTTCTGCAAACAGACTGTCAGGGCACTGCCTCTGCTGGCCTCCTCCCTGCTCCAGCCCCAAGACTGAGCCCATCACCAGGACAGAAAAGGTCCATCCTGGGCTGGAAATGGAGGATCACCAGGGACAATCCACCTGCCCGCTCGCTGTCACTGGAACTGGTGGCTACGGAAGCACCTCCCTGCTGAGCAACAGACACCTCACCTTCTGGGCTCCGACCTCCTTCCTTAGCTCTGTTCTCATCCAGAACGTTCCCAGGCTGTCAGAGGTCTATCCCCTCTCAGCATCCTTCTCAAACCCTACGATGGTTGCTAAGCACAACATTTGCCATCTGGACTTGTCCCCTCTCCTGGCACAGCAGCTGCCCTGGACAACGACACACTCCTGGGCTCCTCAGGCTGGGCAGCCCTCTCCCTTCTCCATTCCCCTCCTTTTTCCTCCGCCATTCCTACCCTGGAGTTCTATTCACCCCTCGAGGCTCTGCCCTGGCCATGTCTTCTGAAAAGCTCTACTCTGCTCCTATTCAAAATGAATGAATGACTCCTCTGTGGGCTCCAGCAACGTATTCAGCCTAATTTATCATTCTGCTTGCTTTACTGACAGACACCAATATTTCCGTTTACCTGTAAAGCATACGCCCCTCCAGAGGGACCATGCCTGGCACCGCTGCAGCCATGCTGTGCCCAGCGAGGACTCCTGACTACATACGTGTGTGTCGTGTGCTTGCTGAAGGAAAGAACAGACCCGACTGTGAACACGCTCACAGGGTCAGGGGTGTTGGCTACGCAGGTCACAGGGTGGCAGAGCTGGGATTCAAATCTTTGCTTCTAATCCAGGTCTCCTGGCTGCTGGTTCAAGAGGTCCCGGGGAACCTTCCTCACCAGTACAGAGGCAGACAGCTAAGCGGGAAGGAGACACCGTCTTGACGGTCAGCCCCTGAGAGCACAGCATACCTCTAACCTCAGCCCTGTCCGTTAGGCCCCAAATATCTAGGACAATGCCTGCCAGTGAGGGGGCTGTGAAACTGCTGAACTGACTGCATCTTCAGAGGACAATTCAATAGCAGAATGGCCTTTTCTGCCTCTTAAGAGCTTAATGCTCACCCGTCGATGATGGATTCCTCCAAATTCTCCAGCCTGGGGTATTTTTAAATACCCTGAGTCAGAAAAGAGAAAAGGCTGGCTCCCGGTCACCAGCATTGTGATGGGCATGTTCAGGGGAGCCCCACAAGGCAAGCCTCAGTCCAGAAGAGAGAAGCATAAACCTCAGCTCAGAAGAACTTTCCATGCCAGGACAGCAACAAGGGCTCTGATGAGCTCAGAAGGCAGTGGCTTTGGCTCAGGGAGCTGGAGAGCAAGGAGTGGCCGGTTGGGGTCTCCCCTCACCAGCTTCGTCCCTGGTCAAGGCCCCTACTCTCCGGTGGGTCCCCCTGGCTGAGGCATCACGATTGGATCAGAAACCCAAGGCCCTTCCACAAGCACATGCTCACTCGCCAAAGAACAGAAAACCACACCCATGGTAACACGCCTGGTATGAAAAATGAAAAACCACACACTAGGAAAATGTTTACAGTAAATATACTAGGAACATTGAGCTAGTGGTATCTGTATTACAAATTCATACAACTCTAAAAAGTCTATATTCTAACAGCTACACAAACCACTCAAATAGGCAAGGCACACAAGGGGAAATACAATTATAGGCCAGGCGCGGTGGCTCACACCTGTTATCCCAGCACTTTGGGAGGCTGAGGCAGGTGGATCACCTGAGGTCAGGAGTTCAAGACCAGCCTGAGCAACATGGTGAAACCCCATCTCTACTACAAATACAAAAACTAGCCAGGCATGGTGGGGCACGCCTGTAGTCCCAGCTACTCAGAAAATTGCTTGAACCCAGGAGGCTGTAGTGACTTGAGATGGGGCCATTGCACTCCAGCCTGGGTGACAGAGCACAACTCCGTCTCAAAAAAAGAAAAAGGGAAATACAATTATTAAAGGCTTAGACAATTCTTCAACCTACACTAATAACCACAATATAAATATGCAAATTAAAGCCATAAGGTACCATCTTATACTACTAAATTAGTAAAAATTTAAAAACTATTTAAATACTGGTAAAGTTATGATAAAATTAACATTCTCAAGCATTGGTGGAATAGCGATAAATAATACTTCAAAAGGCAATTTCTACCATTCTTATTTTTCTCTGTTCTGATTCAGGAATTCAAATGCTTGGAATTTCTCCTAAGAAAATAATTCAAAACACTCAAAAACAGTTATGTAGAGAAAAATGCTCACTGCAACAGTGTTTATAATCTTGATTAACTGGGAAGAGGGTAGAAAAAATACCTAAATACAATAAAATGGGCCAGGCATGGTGGCTCATGCCTGTAATCCCAGCACTTTGGGAGGCTGAGGCGGGTGGATCACCTGAGGTCAAGAGTTCGAGACCAGCCTGAGAAACATGGTGAAACACCATCTCTACTAAAAATACAAAAATTAGGCAGGCATGGTGGTGCACGCCTGTAATCCTAGATACTCGGGAGGCTGAGGCAGGAGAATCGGTTGAACCCGGGAGGTGGAGGTTGCAGTGAGCTGAGATCACGCCACTGCACTCCAGCCTGGGCAAAAAAGCGATTCTCCATCTCAAAAAAATTAAAATAAATAAATAAATAAATACAGTAAAATGTCAAATGCATGTTAAAAAGTTGATGCAGTAGTGATGAGTGTATGATACAATTCAAAAAACGTCCACTTTCTGGTAAACAGAATGTTCTGTAGTCAGCCCAGGTTTACTGAATGCTGCTGCTTGCCAACCCCTGTTCTGAGTGCTGAGAACACTGAAGTGAGAGAAATTTAATTTTACTCTAATTACAATCATGTATACATATGCAAAAGCAATGAGGAAGAATGTAGAAATGTATGGTGGTGCTGGCATCGGGGTGATTTCCTCTTTCATTTTGTTCATTATCCTAACCTTGCATGGCAAACACTCACAGTTCAGTGGGAAAAAGGAAACAAGTCACCATCTCTGGAAGCCATTCAAGCAGTAGCAGGGCCGTGTCTCTCTGCCCACACACAGGAGGTTCAAGATCAAGCTGGGGCCGGGGCAGTGGCTCACGCCTGCAATCCCAACATTCTGGGAGGCCGAGGCCGGTGGCTCACCTGAGGTCAGGAGTTCGAGACCAGCCTGGCCAACATGGTGAAACCCCGTCTCTACTAAAAATGCAAAAATCAGCCGGGTGTGGTGGCGGGTGCCTGTAATCCCAGCTACTCGGGAGGCTGAGGCAGAATTGCTTGAAACCAGGAGGTGGAGGCTGCAATGAACCATGCCACTACACTCCACAGTGCAGACACAGAGAGACTCTCTCTCAACTCAATCAATCAATCAATCAATCAAACTGGATGATCGTGGCTATTTCTGATCCAGTCTCAGGCACTCTTGGGCCAGACGCTCTCATGAGTCATCCTCTCCCAGAAGCCCTGAGTGCTGGGTGCCGCCTTCCTCAGTGGGCTCATCATGGAGGTGACATCATCACAGGAGAGGCACAGAGTGACAGGAAGCAGATGGGTGGCAGGAGGGCTGCGGCGGGCACCACCCCTGTCCCCGGACCCCTCAGCTCAGGGATCTCAGCTGTTTGGGGCTCACTCACAGAGCTAAGATGTCACAGCAGTGACTCTGTGTGGTCATGGCAGGGGAAGCAATCCCACCCTCTTCCTCCAGGAAGGAAAAGTCATTATGGGCCTCTAGGCAGGACAAGGTGATGGCCACTCTCACACTGCAGGGTCACAATCTCGGGGGACTGCCTGGGCCAGCTGGCGAAAACACAGGAGGCGGTCCAGCAAGGAGCCACACTGTCCCTGCTCAGAGCTAGCCCAGCGCTGCCATTTGGGAACGCGGACCCAGGAGTATCAGATCTTCTACAACTTTCTAAGGAATGCTGAAATCCTGTTACGTGAAATCTGATTTCTCAACACTGGCAACTAATTTAAATTGATTTCAAAACACTTTGGTAGTCAAAAAACCCATCTGTGGATTGCACCCCAGCCCACCTGCTTTGTTCTACCTTCAAGGAGGTACTTAAGCCACTGCCCAGACTCTGAGAAACAGTGTTTTTGGCTACAGGGGAATCTGTGTCACTGGAGATAGGAACATGCTGGCCTGAAGCACTGCAAACCCCCTGTGGTTACACTTTGCAATTAGCGTCATAGGCCCCACGATGTAGGCTTCCACCAATCAAAATAGGCTAAAATTCTAAGTCAACCTGTACCTTCCAAAGCCCTTGTGAGATTTTGCAAACATCCATTCATGCTGCACACATGTACTGAGCATCTACTATGCATCGGTTACTGTGCAAAGAGCTAGAAAGAAAGCCATGAGTGAGACCTTATGGAACGTGTGTGTGTGTGTGTGTGTGTGTGTGTGTGTGTGTTTACGTACATACCACGGGGCAGGGAGAGGGGAAGAGACAGTTAATAGAATAAAAAATCAAACAAGAGCTTCTGCAGCACTAAGTGCTACAGAGATGATCTGAAGGTGATGGCCCTGAGAGGGCTGAGAAGTGGCTTCTTTGGATGGGGAGGTTGGGGAGGCAGATATCTGAGCTGAGATGGAAAGAGGGAGAACCAGCACTGAAAAGGCTTGAAGGTGGCCCATGCAGAGGGAACATGAAGCATGCAGGCCCTAAGGTAACCGCTTTAGAAAGTTCAAGAACCGGGAAGGCTGATGAGGCCGGGGAGCCACTGCTCATGGGAACAGAGGCCACAGTG